CCCCCCCTCAAAAACAATATTGAACTAAGTCCTTGGCCTTGTTAGAAATCAGAACCATTTTCCATCCGGACGAATAGATTTCACCCCTATAACCTTAACTTTGTGAGGCCAAAGACTTGTTACTGTCAAAAACAAAGCTCGCAGTATGCAATCTTTCCGTGTCAAGCCCGGGATCAGTCTTTCACCCGTGTGGCCCGAAATTAAAATATAGGAAAATATAGCAATTTACTCAATTTATAGGACTTTTATAGGAGAGGTCTGACAAAATACGTTTTTATAGCATGAAATAGAAATATAGATGTCGCTCGACACCCTGCACGTGCAACAATATATAATTTACGTGGTCGTATAGGACAGGACCGAGTGGTAAACACACACACACACACTTCAAAGGTCAAGTGGCCAATTCGAAATTACATCATAGATAAGAAGGGGACGCGAAAAATCTTAGCAGCTCTAGCAAAAAGAACGCCGGGAGCGTTCATATATTCGCGTGGTGACGCCGAAATATTGCATTACAGAACCAAGAAAAGGAAAGTTACACAGTGTATTTAGAGAAGGAAATAGGTTGTGGGTTAAAAGGGGTTATTCCTGAAATTGATAGGATATCGTTGGTTTCGGTGGCAAGCACGAGTAAAGAAAGGGGAATTCCTGACTGCAAACGTCTCTATAGACATATAGAATATATTAATACATAGTTTTTTTTTTTCTTCCTGAACGCAAGATCGCTGGTTGTAGGTATGGGTTCTTAGAGCCCCGCCTTCAAACAAGGGAAAACGCTATTCGCACAGTTCAGTTCCAACAGTAGAAATAATATAACATTTACTCCCACGCAGTAAATTAGATCCTACTGCTCTCTAGGCTAACTTTGTAAGGCGTTCGACCTCTCATCATTTAATCTGCTGTTCTATTCGGTCAGGTAATTACTAAGCAAGTAGAAAGGTAGGCGTGATATCCGTGCATAAGAACTACTTACGGAAAACCACTACAAAATAGAACAACAACAAAAACTTACTTACCTATCGGTCCTGCTTCAGTAAGAGTTACTCTCTCTTGGCTTGATCCGACAACTGTAAGAACTACATCTCAAGTGTGCACTTCTCCAAGTAACTAAGTAAAAAGGGACGCTAGCCGCTCTTTTATATTCGCGTGGTGACGCCAAAATATCGCATTACAGAACTCACCGAAATAAAGTTAAACATTGTAACTAAGATGGAAAAACAGTTGCAAAGCAAAAGGATAGTGCTATAATATATATGATATCTTGACCTTTACTTAAATAATAAAGAAACTAATTGGGAAATTATGTTGCCGTTGACCATACTCTCGACCGTCAAAAGACGGATAGATAAAATTAGAACAAGTGTAAATGGATAAAAAAAAAAATCATGACATGTATATGTATGCGTCTTTTTTGTGCATTTTCACTATTCACTACTATTTTTAACATTTTGCATTATTTCGATACTGGTGGACGTGAGTTCGTTCCACAAGAAAAAAATTGAAATGAAATCCCCGTTTTAAAGGCTAAAATGTTTTCAAGGTCAATTCTGCACTGAAGCCTTTACTCTTAGTACTTTGAGACATCATTTTCCTGTTGAATTATGAAAAAGATAGCAAAGACATTTAATGAGGAAGAAGTAAGCATAATCATTTTTTTTGGTGATTTTAACAGGAATGTCTAAACCTCGCAAAAAATAAAAGGCCCAGCCTTTTAAAATTTTCAATACGTCCATCCCTTGGGGTCCGTAGCAAAAAACAACAGAAATCAGTTTCAATGCGCCTAAATATAGTCATAAATAAAAGAACTGGAAAATTATTTTTGGAATTCAACTGATGTGACGACAAGTTTTACCCTTTTTTAAAAGATGGCAATTAGCGTGACATAACTCCTTTCATTCACGCACTTGTGACTGATATCTCGCCCCTATATGTAAACTGCCCCTATATGTAACGTGCCCCTATATGCAAGGTAACGTTACCAACCTTAGTGCATCGCTTCGCACAACGAAGGCAACGCCGACAACAAGAGACAGAGGAACAGGGAATCAGAGGCATTATGATCGTTTTACACTGTCGAAAACCCAGATTTCTTAGTTTGCCGGTTTCCCCGCTGATATATCGATCAAAGTCTGCAAAGTTTCAGCTCTATATTACGGCCCGAAGAATAATAGTTTTCAGGCGAACTGCACCGGGCCATATTTATTCTTTGTTTTTTTCTTTTTCTAAATCCGGACGCAGAAATAATGCTAAATCTGCTCTTCAATACACTGTTAACAATAACACCACATAATACGCAAAAGAGAAGAAGAAGAAAAGAAAGAACAACGTATGGACCTTTACTAGTAAGACAATATTCGCGGATGGTCACCCATCCAGTTCGTAACCCGACAGGGCTTCTTTAGTGCCGTTACCACACCGAGTTGCGAGATACGTCTTTCTAGTGTATAAAAGAAACAAATTTACGGTAAGCCCTACCTGTTTGAGCCTTAACTTGTGAAACGTACACAGATAGAAACAGCAAAAGTTTTCCCATGAACGTAGCCATCTTCATGCGCATAGGATGAGACAGACCTCTGTACGTGCTTATTAATATATAGCGAAATAGTTAGCGCGTCACGCTTTGTCAAAACCCGTCGAAGCACGATCAATTTAAGTCATCATAAACGAAGCGGAAGAAAGTTCAAACAACTGGAAATACGTCTGCAGGTTCTTTCTTTCTTTTTTCTCTTTCTAACTCTTTTATACTAGTGCATCAAAGATCCACCCGACGCCACCGCGACCGTGTCCTGTAAGATCGGTCGATCCAACGCGGACGGTAACGAGAACGTCAAAAAAAACAATAGGTTTGATTAGCAAAACAACAACTTTGCACGTGCACCATGCTTTTTTGTACATTTCTCTGTCCGTTTTTGCACGACTACGACGTGAACATGCCTTAAATTTCGCGTTTTACGGAGGACGTAAACAATCAACCACGAAATTTCATTTCTCTTACTGTACTTGTATATGGTGCCTAGGAATTCAACTCCAGGAGGGTTCGCCTACATTTGACAAAGTAAGTAGGTAGGAATAATTGCGATATAGACTGAAAGAACGCAAATTCACTTTGTAAGCGACGTTCTCATTGCCGTCGCGTCGTTGGATCTTAAAGTCCCTATCGATATCTTTGACAACGTCGACACGAATCTACTAAGTCTTCCCCGGAGTCGTTTTGTCTCGTCAGGCAACGCTTCTATCCATCAAACGGCTGGGAGGGAGACTAACACGAATCCAGATATTTATGAAACTGCAAAATTTTAACACGAATAATCGGCCCTCCGCCCGGCACACGAAACCAGTGAATCCAGTCACAGAAAACGCATTGTTTTGAAACCGCTGTTAAAGTCCCTGCCCACACGATTGAGGATTAAAAATATGCATTTCACAACTGACCAGATTCGTGTCGATATGCATGGCCTTATTCCAATGCATGGGTGTCGCATCTCTAGCAGGGTGATCTCGGTCATTTTTTGTTTACATATTTTTCGCCGCTGGAGTTTTTCATAAGGGACGGACCATAAGAAAACTTATGGGGGGCGAAGTACAAAAAAAATTTTCGCGCAAGGGAAAATTAAATGAAAAAAAATTCATGCACGCCAATTAATACTAAAAAAATATTCATGCTATGGCCTAAAAATAAACCATACAAGGAATTTGATAACGAAAAAAAATTCCTGCGGCTCGAAAATCCCCCCCCCCCTTAACTTTTCTAATGGTCCGTCCCTAAATTACACGTGTTTTAAACAAGCAACAAGCTCAAAGAGAAACACTGGTTTAAAAGCTGTAAAAACACAGTCTCAAATTTAACGACCTTGAAAAATCGTCACTTAGTAGGAAGAATGTGGAAGAAAAAGTTCAACTCCTTATGCACCAAAAAATATTTATATTCAGTTCGGCGTATTCCTGTGCAAGTTTTCTGCCTCAAAAACCACTGCCACTTTTCGCAGAAAAAGCAGTGATCCTCCACAACCGCTGTCAGCTTGCTATAGAGCATGGAATGAGGGAACAGAGATACGTTAATAGGGAGTTTACGCAACGACGACGACGACGACGACAACGAGAACGGCAAAAAAGCAATACGTTTAGACAAGCAAAACAACAAGACTTTGCACGTGCAAAACGCTTTTTTGTACATTTCTCTGCCGTCGTTGCACGACTACAACGTGAAAATGCCTAATTTCACGTTTTGTGAAGGACGGGAACAAAAAGACAACAACTTTCTTTTTCTTTTCCTGAACTTTGATGCAGTCCTTTAGAATTCAACTCCAAAAAATTTGCCAACATTTGACGAATTAAAGGAGCTGAAATAAGCGAGATTAAGTTTGAAGCAGCGCAAATTCACTTTTTAAGTGACGTTTTCGTAGCCGTCGCCGTCGTCGTTGCGTAAACTCCCAAAAGAGAGAGACGACCACATGGCCTTTTTTCACATCTTATATTTCGCTTGCCGTTTGTCTCTATTTGTCGTTACAACGTTTATGATAAAGGTGAATGGGAACTTTACCTTGCATCTCTTTAGTTTACCTTCTACAGAATAAACATATTTTTCGTTCACTTTAATAGTTTAAGTCTCAAAGCCTTATATTATGAATTTATTGTACTAATACCTAATAATTTGTTTGCGCTAGTTTTACATGTTCACGCTATATCGGATAGCTTTTATGCCCGCAAGAAAACTACACCGGATAGGGATTCTGTTCACACGTAAGAACGGCGATGTCGCCGCAGGTTCTGTAAAGCCTGGTTCTCATATGCCGCCGTTGTGCCTGCGACATGGCCGCCGGTACTGCTTGGTGCCTGGGATACTGTTCCGATATGAGATCAGAAGTGGCCGGCAACATTGGTCATCCCATTTTTTACCACCGGCATGCCTACGAAGTTGACTCGAGTTCAACTTCGCAGGCATGCCGGCGTTAAAGCTCTGCGATGGCTCTAGTTGCCGGCACCGCATGTTCTCATTCGTCCGAGAAGTAGCTCAGGCGGTACCGGCGGCTACTTCGCAGATACATCGGCGGCATATGAGAACCAGGCTCTACGGAATGAAGCCGAGCCGCGACGATCTCTAAAAACTAGTGGAGATCCACATATCAGACAGGTGTTCATACTATACCCGATACCTTTTCGTGTTGGCACGGAAAGGCGGTATAGTGAGAACACAGGCTGAGCCAAAGCTTCGACACGCCAACATTCGTGGAGATATCGGTAACTTTGTGCGCACATACGCTTTGCCGTCTACATGCGGTAAGATTGGTCCAAGTACTCCCTTAGCCTGAAGAAAGTCTTCCTCTCCGCAACATATTTTAAACCTCTTTCGATAACAATAACCTATGCAAGACCCAATCCGCATTAGTGCGTTTTAATTTTTATGCGTATTGGCACTGCCTTCACATTAACACGGCAAAAAACAGACACTTTCCAAAGAAAACGCCATTTCGAAAGTGAACTCATTTAAAAGATGGAGGTCTGTCATTTAATAATAATGGAATTTAGAATTTATATAGCGCTTATACATCGCTTTTCTGTTTTAGTGTGGACGGCAAAACGCTTTCCTAAAACGCTGACGTCACAGCTACTCAAGCATGACCCACAACAAGGTTGGAAATTTAACACACGTCTAACAGTAGCCTTGAAACAGGCATCTTGAGGTGAACGGTCGAAAACGAGCGAAAAACGATTTTACGGACTTGGAGCTTTTGACGAGTATTTGTAAAGGACGTTTCGAAAATGCATTGATCTAGATGAGGTCCTCGGAACTGCAATCATCTTGTCCGGCACGTGGCGTGTAGGCGTCTTTATTAACAAGCATTCTACTTCATCTTGAAATTACAGCTCGTTCTTTGCTAAAGTCATAATTGTACTGTGAAGCAAGAAATAAAAGTACAACAAAATAAAAATACAAAAGGAATAACCTGGTAATTGAGTTTCTTACAATCAACAAAAGTGAAGGCTTACCACCCCAGGACTCAATGATCAAAAGAGGATTTCATCCACAAACTCACAAGTAACGAGCCCAATGCATGCTTTTAAAATTCACAGTGAGGCAAGAGAGATCATCCCTCCCTCTTGCTGCAAGGACATAAAAGCTACGAAATTTAAACAGGTTTGAAGATAAATGTTCAGTGAGATTCGCAAGTTTAGCGACAAGTGTTTAGCGGTAATGCGCCAGTCATAGTGGGTGGACTGTGTGTTTTTCAATTAGATCTTCTTTATGGTCTTTCCAAAGTTAAATTAAAGTTATTCCATTTTCTTTAACCTATTTCACCCTGGCTGTCCGTGTGTGCGCAGCACGTGCGCCTGCGCCTCCAAAATCAAGTTCCTCCGCACGTGCGCGTGCACCTCCAAAACTGAATGCCGACAGCCGTTCTCATCATTTCTGTTCAAAACGTTATGTAATACTGCACAAAGTGCCTTTTCGGCGACCAACATGCTATATGTGGGGACCATTTTAGAATTAAATGTTGCCAAAAGACAGCTTTAAAAAAATTGAGCTTGTAGCCCTGTTAATCCTAGGAACATATCACAATAGTAGCTGGAAAATCATCGCTCAGGTGAGTGTAATTTTGAATAGAACTGTTGTTTTACGTTACGTTTCAAGGAACTGTGCGGAAGCAAGAGCCATGGCTCTTGGCGGAAGTCATGCATCATATAAATTAAAGAGATTACTAAAGCTGATTTCTAACCGGTCAATAAGCTGCGAACTTATTGGTCCGTTTAGCTGACAAGTTATTGGCTATAAAGAATCCAAACGCGAGTCACGTGTTTTGATAAGCCTTTTCATGAAATGATTTCAGCCAGCCGAAGCATTTTTTAATAAAGGCACTACCAGTAAAACAACAACTGCATCGCACGTCTTCAGAGATGTTTACCAATTAGTGTATAGGAAACTGTGTCACGTGTCGCGAATGACTACACTAAAATCAAGAGAGGATAATTCGTCTTACCTTTGAATCTATGTCATTTACAGATAAGGTTTGAACATTTGGTATTGCCGGCTAGAATACAGAAACATAAACAGCAATTAGAAACCTAACACTACAACAAACCATTCCAAGTTACACAGGAATGGCATGCCACCATAACGACAGCTAGCTTAATGGACATCAGTGGAAGATCCTTGAAAATTGTCCCCCTGCCCTTCCCCTAACCAACGTTCACACTAGCTTTTCACTTAGGACAAAATGTTTGTTGTGGGGGAGTGGGAGGGGGTGCTAGAGAACTTTAGATTAGAAGAGGAGGAGGAGCCTTTTGACTTAAAGTTCTTTTATTTTTTGTTTTGTGGGTGCCGTCTCAAAAGATACACGCTCCGCCAAGCTTCATTTTACTTTTTTTTTTCAACAGAAAAGTTTACGCGGTTATTTTTATTTAAGAAAGTTAAGCCTCTCCCGACCAGAAAAAATAAACCGAAACTCCTAACATTTGACAACGTTTCCCTCGCTACGGTATTCTCACTAAAACCCGTAGGCCGTAGCAGAATGATGACGGCTATCGAGTTTTCCCGCCAAAATGATGCTGGTGCACCCGCGCGCACTACGGAAAGTCTCGTTTTCGTAGTTGTCCCTGTCTTAGAATCTAAAGGTCTCTAATGTTGGGAGTGGAACGTCAGGGATAGGGGGCACTAAATCCGTCGGTTCGTTTGAAAAGGACCAACGGGCACTAAATCTGACGGTTGGCTGTTGAAGATCTAAGTAGGGGATTATGCAATTCCCCCTCCCCACCCTCCCCCTCCCCGCCCCCCCCCCCACTCACCCCACGCCAGTTATAGGACATGTACTTTGTCCGGAAATGTAATGAAATTGTTACTCTGGGAAAGTTCAATCAAACCTACTGTACTTTATATTAATAAACTATACGGTAAAAACTCACCCCACATTTTTTCCATAAGATATCAAACTTAGCATTTACTTGAAACGGAAGGCCTTCAATGGCTAGGAGTTAAAATCAACAAATTATTAGACAAACAGTACTCAATTTGTTCTTTTTCGTAGGCAGTAATGTGAATATTTTCTATCTTAGCCGCCTCCGGTGTCAACTACGTTGTTTTCCATAAACTGTAAATCGCCGCTTATAAACCCTGAGTTTTAGGAGGGTTCACTGGCTTTTCAAGGGGCTGTGTTACGGCAGTCCAGTTCATTTTGTTTAATTTTGCCAATTACGTACTCGCCCTCAATCGCTATGGAAATTAAAGAAAGCAAAGAAATTACAGTTATATGACAAAATCAGAGATCATAGACAAACAAATATGTCTCCTTAGCATTATTTTTGAAGTTGCAAGCAGCAGGGATCAACTTTGAAAAACTGTTAGGCTAAACAGTTTTCAAAAACCCTAATTTCAATCCGTTTCAATCTTCTTCAGTTTTGCGTATCCGTGGCATCCGTTGTTTCTGTTATGTTATTTTAACCGTCCTTTAAAGTTTTAAGCAGTTATTTTTGTGTTTCTCTTAATTGAACGGGCGTTTTGTGATTTCCTAATTTGGCTGAATTTCGTGACACAGCTCCTTTAATAAGATGTCAAAACTTCATAATGAATCGAATTCTTCAATGCAAGGTAGTGGGGGCTTAGATCCGGGGTTAATAAGGATGTATTTTGTGTCTATATGTATTCGCTACGATCGCTGAAGAAAGCTTAACGATCGTAGCCGTAAACCTAACCTTTTCAAACGCAACAAACTGTACAAAAAGAAATGAAAGTAACTATTTAGAAATAAAAATAAAATTCCTTACAGGATTGACAAGGGCAAATTCAAAATCTCCCTCTTATGACCGTCTCTAATGTAAAACATTCAAATTTACACCTTTTTCTTATGCACACTATGGAGGTTTGGAATATGTGCAATGGTCGGTCGTGTAGTTCCAAAGTCGTTTCGCTACATGTACAGCCCTTCCGCTGCATTTAAAGCGAGACGACTTGTTTTTTAGCGAAACGACTTTGCCAAGAGACGACTTCTTTTTAGGGAAACAACTTTGCAACGACGTCAATATGCACCAAAAATCAACCGACTAAAAACCTGGATTTCAAGCTTGTCCTTTGGACAAGCAGCTCGCGCAATTTACTTGCCCGGGGCCACTTCTTGCTTGTCTCAGTTAATGATTTTGTTAGAGGATGAATTGATTTGACCATTACCAATCGGGCAGGTCAACTTAAAAAATTACATACCCAGCAAGAAAATCTACTTGTCACGTCTACCGGACGGGACCTATTTGGATGATTATACGTTTCTTTGAAACTGCCCACCTACCCTTCCCCCTAGACAACATTTTGCCTTAAGTGAGAAGTAAGTGTTAAGGTTGTCTTAGGGGAGGGGTAGGTGGGCAGTTTCCCAGAAATGTATGATGATCCGGACTTTTTTCGAGCCTTGCTTTGTAGCGAAACGACCGGTGATCGTGCAGTTGGTCATGGACGAATCACTTTGCCTCTTTAAGCCATATTATCTGTACGCAGAAGGCAAGTAATACTCTGCCGTCTCCAGGTTGAAACCACCAATTACTGTTCAGTACAAGATTGTTTTTATGATAAAGTTAGTGTACCTGAAAAAGCTCCAGGTCTAGAATGCAACGTTTCTAAAGTAGGGTGAGCTGAATGTGGACCCGGGTAAGGAGCAGCAGGATGACCTTGTTGTTGTTGTTGCTGAACCTGCCAGTGTCCTGGTGGAGGCGCCTGTCCATACCTACAGTTCAGTATACGACAAAATATCAGCAAACACCTTTACAAACTAGTAATAACCAAAGGTTACGGAGTGCGGGCGAAAGCGATCGAAGGTCAAAAGGCTTTTGCTCCATTGCTGTGCTTTCACGTGAAAGTTAGTCAAAACACGCGTGATCAGATTAAGAGTGAGAGACAGGGCGGATAAATGTTGGGCGGTGAAACGAGCGCTCCGCTCTTCAGTTAACGTGTGATGCGCAGTAGGACTGGCACGAGCGCTCTTTCCGCGCTTCCGGTGCGCTTGAAGGCCGGCGAAATTTTCCTTTTTGCAAACCGGAAATCCTATTTTCTTTCTGTAATTTCAGGCTACAATGTTAAATAGATAAATTCGTTTCATAACAATATCAATAAACAGTTTCATATGTTTGTGTCTGTATGCCTATAAGTCAAACTTGTTGGTCATATAATGCCAAAATTTGAGTTTAATTTGAAAGTGTTGAATACCTCCTCCTTCCGCTAAATATCACCTAATCGTCTTTCGCCGTTTCGTTTGCGAAAGCTTAACACTTCTTAAACTCAATTTTTACATATGTTAAAGGGGGATAAATTTTATATAACATAACAAAAAATTAGATTGATATATTTTGACATAGTGGCGTAGTACTGCTTCAAACTTTGCTTCTCGGGTGCAACGCGCCATGGCGATCCGCGCAATGCGTCGCAAATCCGGCAACCGCATGCAAACAAAATTTATTGAGGTTAGTTGTAAGGTTTTTTCTCCTTTTTTCTCTCTAAAACAAAACAAGGTAAACAGTAAAAACTGAGGGAAAACTAATTTTGAAGTTTCGAAGAAACAGAAAGACGTATGAAAGAAGGATGATGGTGATTGAAATTAGCATAATTTCACCTTACACGAGCTGCACGCATTTATAAAATACACGTCATCTAGTTATGAAACACGATATGCTGTCTTTTAATTTTGCCATGGATGACATGGATGAGACTTTCCTTTCGTGTTTTAGACAGTACTTAGTTGTTTTTGTTTTGGAAAACATCGACATTGGCGAGTAGTAGAACGAAAATATAATTCAATGGTAGAGTCATGGAAGTAATAAGAGAAATCCTTTGAAAGAGATGTCTGTCTACTCCAACTAAGCCTCCCGCAAAAAATAGCAACATTTGCCTCCCGAAGACAGCGAACCAGCACAAAGGAACGAGGAAGAAGTGCAAGAAAACAAATCAAGCCGCCTTCATTCAGTGACAGCGGCAGTGTCTAATGGACAAACCACATCGCAAGCCCTGACCGAATTGCCGAAAATAAGCGACATTTCTAAGCAGAGTCCCAGTCCACTGCATCACACCTTTTTGCTCGGACGCGCTCGTTTCACCGCCCAACCTTTATCCGCCCTGATGAGAGAAGGTCCAAACGCGCGTGATCAAATTCCATTCATTCTTAGTGAAAGTCCAAACGAATGCTGGCTACATACATACGACGCATGCTTAATAACAACCTGGAGATTAAGATTGCGGGCGACAAGAGGAGCCCGTAAATATTCACTGTCTTGTAATTGTCTTAGGCCTGTTTCAAACGTCGTGCTACTGCCGTGCTAAGCAGGCTCGACTGCAGCACGACACTAGCACGACTTGGTTTCAGACGTCGAATTTAATTCACACTATGACAGTCGAATGGAACGGCTGTTGCCAAAAACAAAACACAAAAATAAAGAAACTTTTTAGCAAACTTTTAAATATATTCTAATGTATTTACAATTTATGAATTGAGTTCGACACGGTGGTAGCACGACGTTTGAAACCAAGTCCAGCTACTGCTGTGTAGCACGGCAAGGCTTGCAGTGCTACACAGCAGTAGCACGACTTGGTTTCAAACGTCGCGCTACTGCCGTGCTAAAGTCGAATTTAATTCGATCAACTGAGTTCGGCACGGCGGTAGCACGACATTTGAAACGGGCCTTAAAAGGTTACAGGTTTGTGTTGTCATGGAATTAGTGCACTTAGCTTATGCAGCTAATTTACAGGCACTCCAGTCAAATAGAAAGAAATGATTCAAATATAACATAACAGGATTAAAAACGCCAACTGGCAGGAGGCAACCAGTTGGCTACTTACAGGCGTGACCGAGGATTTGAACTTTGGACTACCGAGAACAAATCTATCAAGAAGTCAGAGCGGAACTCGAACCTGGTACGGACGATTTGCGAGTCGGACGCGCTGCTTATTCGGCCACGCTACCTCCTTAAAGCAGTTTGGTTATAAAAAGAAGGCTGACAGGTGGGTATTGACTCTAACAAGAACCCTACGGTCCGCAACAGTGGGATGGAAATTTTTATGGTATCTCCTGGGAGGGCCTGTTTACAAGGAGAGAGGGTTTATACCCTTGTGCTAGGGTTACTCACCAAGCGGGTTAAAGTTATCTCTGGATTACAAGCAAATTTCACAGGTAAGGCTACCCTATCACCCGGGTTAACTTTATCAGCTTTACTGACGTCTTTTGTCAAGCGTGACATTCTTTATACATGTAACGTCCAAGATTTAAAATAAAACTTGAAGTTCTCTATGGAAAACACGTTAAATTCACCAAAAAACGGGAAAATATAATCATCGTATACAGAAAATACCTTATATTGTTCAGATGTTTATAATTTAGCTCAGGAATGGGATAATTCCGTTCAAATTGTCAAGATTACTGGTCACGCGTGAGGGAGGAAAGTTGACCCGAGTAGGCAAGTTATCCCTTGCAGAGCTTTTACAAGGCACCTTAGGGTAACCCTCTTCCTAGGGTAACCCTACCTGCCTTGTAAACACGTCGTGTAAAAACCAAAAAGAAATGTGCGAGTGCTAGGGTAACCCTAGCACCAGGGTTACCCTCCCTTCTTGTAAACAGGGCATAAGTTACGTTATGTGTAGTTCCATGTTGTCACTAAAAGTTCTCGGTATACACTGAGAAGCGAACTATATACAGAGAACTAAAAGATCAGACAGTAGAGAGATTAAGATTCACGTTTACGCTAAACGGCAAACGTGAATTTGTACAACGCGAAAAAGTTTTTCCCTTAATTGTCGTTAACTGTTTATTACTTAAACTAAAAAATAATTAGTTTCACGCCAGCCTTATACATAAGAATTGTTCTGGACAGTTTTTACCTGCTTATTTTCTATAGGTGGTTTTCATGCAATCTCGGGAGACACAAATAACAATGGTGAAATGAACGAATGCTGGTGGACAAACAAAACGAGCTAATGAGCGATCTTTTGTTTGCCGTCCACCAGCATGGCGGCGATACCACCTATCCTGAGAAATTCTCAACTTGAATCTGACGTTTGAAGTTTGGCGTAAACGTGAGTCTTACTCTACTGCGGATTAGCCATCAAAACAAAAAGTGGACGAGGTCACTTAGGAGAGGTGGTAGAATAAAAAAGGTTTCAACAGCGATTACCATAGAGCTTTGACTGGGAAATTTTGGGTGTTTATGGGAGGTGATCTTACCAGAGGTGGTCGCACATGGACGTGCAACTGTGTCAATAGACCATTTTACAGTTATCCTAGCCTTTGAATGAATGTGAGGCTGAGGTTGACCTTGTTTTGATACAAACCACTTTCCTTTTCTTCTGGCAATTATGCTTAAAAAATACTAGTTAGCATAAGAACGACATGATTCACATACCAAAGCAGGAAGGGTTGTATCAAAACAAGGTCAACTCCAGCCTCGTTTCCACCTGTAACTGTAAAATGGACTATTATGGCGAGATCAAGAAATGACCATCGTTGGTATACCACTAAAACAATGTTCTGTACTCTAAAGTTAATAAACACAAAAAAAACAATATTCTGACCATTGTTGCCTGTTTGGTCCAAGAGAATGAGGAACACTGGAGTACATATACTGCTGTCCTGTAATAGCAGCTGCAGGTTGCTGTCTTATAATTGGTGCCACTTTGTAACATATCGATATATTGTTTACCTCATTCCTAGAGAAATAAAGTCAAAGATTAATTTTTCTACCACAGACTACCTAATGTATAGATTTAACCAAGGCTAAAAGCGAAGGTCTCGTTAACACACTTATAATATACTCAAACAAAAAATAAAATCGAGAGATGCTAAACGGCGACGGCAACGAGATCTGCGAAATAATCAATAGTCTAATTAGCGACAAAATTAGTACATTTCTTTGCCGTTGCTTTGCATGGCCACAACGTGAAACTTTCTAGTTACACATTTTATGGGGAAAAAATGTCGTATGCGCTCACCAAAGTGTTCCCGTTCGCTTTTTTTTTCCACTGCACCTCATTTTTACCTTGCTGGCTTCTCCTTGCTGACCGCTAGCATTTCTCATTTTCCCACCAACGACATAAAATTTTCATGTTGTTCTTCCAACAAAATTCGTCTCCTTTGTTTTTTATCTCTCGCTCTAGCTCTTTCTCTGTTATCCAAGTCAGTGTAGATATTAAAACTTAGTCGAAAAAAGACACGAGATTGTTGTTGTTTTTTCTCTCTAAATGTCTGGCGCGCGGGTGGCCACCCGAAAAAAACCCGAGTTCCATTTGGGTTGCCATACCTGTTAATTGAGTTATTTTACATTGGTACGCCTGTGGTTCGGGGGGCTTTCAGGCGGGTGAATGTACGATCACGTGACTACCAAATTTTCTCGGATGCACAGAGTTAACCAAATTTTCTTACCCATGGTGCTCCGCTGCGCAAGAGCACCGCTATAAATCATCTCTACGGCAGGAATAAAAATGCTTGAATGCCTATTAAACTCCCCCTTTCCCTATAATACCATAAAAGCACATCTAGTCAAAATTTATCGTTAATGGCTACAGCACTAATAGTACAATAACTGCACTACATCAACCCATTCGCCCCTAAAAATTTAACACAAAACGTGTTTTGAAGCTAGCCGAGCTGTTTTCTGGCTATTAAGAGCTAAAATCTATCAAATAGCCTTTTGGAGATCGCGCACTTTGCGGGTGGCCTTCTGTTCTAGAAGCAAAATACCAGCTTCCAAAAATAAACAAAATAAGTTTTGATTTCTCTCTCAATGTTTCATTCTAAGTACAAAGCACTGACCGCCGGGTTAAGTGATGAATACACTGTACAAACTTACGCAATGAGATGAAAGCCAGGAGGGGCGGTCTCTCCTTTAGTTCTGTTTATAAGCACAATATCACAAACGGCATTAATTGCTGTCCTGCTTGACTGAATTTTAAGGCACAGGAGATGTTTCCTGAAGGCTTTATCATCTAAAATAGAAAGTGTGTGTTGAATGCAGTTCAGTTGCAAGTACAAAGTTTCAAGGAAAAAATTGTTCTACCAAGCTGTTCTCTGAATAAGAGTTCAGCAATTGTGAAACCATGAAATCTTCTGGGATCTTCTGGCCAAAATCTTTTAAAGTCTTACTGGCCGTAATTTCAAGAGAGACAAAAACGTGCATGAGGAAAAGCAACTTGTACATGGGTAAGGAAAGAGGAAATAGGGATTACAGGAACTACACCATGAGCAATGCTCTTGAAATGTGATATTTCTTGGCAACAAAATAATACTCTTACACGTAGAAACAACGACAACAACAAGAAACTGTAAGACAGACCATCATCATGAGCTTTGGTTATTGCTGTAAATCCAGCTACCATAGGATCATCTTCCCCAATTACGGTTAGGTCTTCAATAACATTTTCTCCCACCTAAAAATCGTCGACGAACAGATTGAAATGTATGCAGCCATTGTATGATATTTAGTCATATTTACCCAATAAAACATTACCCCCTGATTGAACACTGCACATGAAAGCAAAATAATATCACCAATTAATGCTGCTCTCAAAACCAAGACAAAACCCAATCAGAAGAATGTGGCCATTATTATTGTTAAAGAAACAAAGAAATAAACAGCCATTATCATTCATTCAAAATAATATTATTTCCCCGATTCTGATTGGCTAAAAGTACACGCATAATTCACCATAACCAGTTACTGATGAACAAATGTGGAAGAATTTTGTGTTTAACGAGGAAATGACGTCAAAAATGCAGCCCTCTACAGGTTAATGCACCCATAAATGAGAAGACCTGGGGACAAGGTTGAGTTGTTTTCGTTGTGAAAACTAAAATGGTGGACACATCACTCGTTTCAAGAGTAAGAACTACAGCTGGAACTAGGCGAAATAATTGCTAAAAACATAGCAAAAACAGCAAGAAAACAACTCAGAGGGCAACATTTGCTATTTGGAGAATATTTACGAAGCTGTACAAATCTAAACACACACTATCGAAGATAAGCTTAACATCGATGCAGGTAAGCATGTTGTAGCTATGTTTTTAAACTAGGAATTATTTTGAATGAATAATATAGCAATTAATGAATTTGACTTTGGTAGGATTTGAAGAATTAAGCAGATCTGAGTCAGAGGGTGTTATCCACCTCGGCCAACACCCGCCTCGATCTGCTTAATTCTTCATATCCTACTCAGCCTCATTCATTAAGTGCTAATTAATACATGAAGTTAGCATCTACATGTACATGTGATTTTCCCAACACCCCTGCAATAAGATGATACATGTACATGGTCACTTTCAAGGCTAATAGCTTGAAAGCAGTTGTTTTAACAGGTTATCAAAACAAATCATTTAAAAACACAAAAAAAATAATATTTAGTCTCACTTGCATAAGCAGCGAGACTCATAATCTGCAACGCATTTTTCTTTGTATTTTTGACAGAAAAGTGGAGTCATTGTGCCGGGCGTCCTAGCAGAGACGTGGAAACTGAGGATAAGAATTGTTGTGTGATTGAAGCCATGCATGTTTTGCGACGTAAGCTCGACTAGAAAGATTAAATTTAGAGCTTTTCCAAAACGTGTCGGTTTACGAATTCTACTGCTTCAAAGCATTGATTACTTTGGAACAAGTGAACACTACTGAGTGGTCGAAAAAAAATAAGAATCTTAATTAGCAAAACTTGGATGGTTGGGTGTTGTATTTACTTTCATTGTATGCAAATGGGGTCTTGTAAAGAGCATGCCATTTATTTTCGGTGATGATTGAAATGACGTGCCATTAAAATCACTTTTTTGATCTCTGGCAATGATGTTATTTCTCTGGAATCGTAGCCTGCGAGCAAGCTCTCCTATTTGGGCAAGCGAAGTGAGCCTCGCGAGAACATGCGAGCGAGGGGCCGAGGAAAGGAGAGCTTGCAACGACCCCTCATAAAATTTCATTTGTACTTCGCCCAGACAAAGGGAAATACCATTGGCTGAAAAATGACGTTCCGGAAATCGAAGTTGATTGATAGCAGGCTAAGCTGGCTTCCGCTTCGTCCGCGAGACTCGCTTCACTCCCACTACTAGGAGAGCTTGCTCGCAGGCTACTGGAATCAAGGCCCTTGAATTTTCGTGTATTTATACATGCGTATAGCCAGGTCTGCAACCGCAGAGGTATTTCCGGTCATCACTGACACGCGTACTAAATCAGTTTAGAAAAAATAAAAAATATTGAAGTCGATAAAGTAGGAAGTAAGAAACCTTTAGTGAGTAAATCCTGTTTCGTGTAGAATTAATCGCCTCCTCATTTTTCGATCTAATCTCCAAGCAAGTGAGACTGAACGCCACTGTAAGAGCGTTCTTGTTATTAAACAAATGATGTGTAAATTGCCAATTTATACAAATAAAAAATGGTTATGATATATGACCAGCCTAGTTTCACAGGTTAGTGACTACAGTGTACTTCCCTGGCATCTCCCTCTCTGTTTTTTGAATCAATCCAGGAAGAATGAAATGGGAAGAAATGTCATAAGCACTGGCAATAAGGTTGGTACATGAAATTTATGAAATAATAATTTGCAATTCAGAGACACAAATCACTTTCAAAAATATATATACTTTACATTAAAAAAATCACATACATGTTGTAGTTAATTTTTTATCTCAGGTAACTTTTATTTTTCCTTTGTTTTAACTTCATTAGTACACATTACCATACCCAAAAACAGAAGAAAAATAAAAATTACCTGATATAAAAATTTAACTTCAACATATCTGTATATACATATATACCACCATGTAACTTAACAAAATGAAAGGATGAGAGGTCAATACTACCACACCTCACGTGAAAAGCAAAGATAACGCTTTCCTTTGTGTCGCCATGTGCTGTCAAATAACTGGCCATCATGTCCAAGTACTGTCTTTTCAAGCTAAACCAACAAGATAAACAGTGGAAGAAAAAACAAAAATATTATGGTAACAAAAACAACAATGTCAACAAACATGAGACCAGAACACTGCTGTTCTAAGTATCAAAACCTCGTCCAATTTCATCCATGGTGAAACACTACTGAATGCATTATTGACAACATCAGGTGAAAACAATCTGCACTGTATACTATACAAGACTTAAGAGATGAAAACTTGAACGCATTCTCTTGTAATGGGAATTTGCAGCCTCTTGAAAAGGTTCTGTGTATTGGTTTCAGCTTCAGCTCATTGGTTCCAACAATAAGCTAACCTTCGACTTCAAGGCTGTGCTCTTAAAATACTCAGAGAAAGCCCAGAGGCTCCCAATCTCAACATGAAATCCTGGGTGCTCCGCCAGCAGTTATAGGTCTTACACACAGCGACAGTTTTTTAAAGTCATTTGAAGGCAAAAGCTTTTGCCAGAGCTGGCCCATGTTGAATAGTGATGTTGCCTGTTTTATTTGCCACGTTCGAACCTGTCATACAACAATTCAAACTGTTGCAGGTTGCAAAAATTTGTTGCAGAAAGTATAGAATAGTTCTACTTTTTGCAGCAAAATCTACACGTTGCCCATTTTTCCAGCCCAAGGCAAACTTGTCTTTCAGCAAGTGATGTAACTCCCATGAATGGCATGACTCCCGCATAATTTAATCCAATCGAGAGCTTGTCAGTATTCACGCAACTTGCAACAACCTGATTTGTTGCAAGATAGGTTTAATAAATGGGTGGTAAAATGCACAACATCACTATTAAACTCACTTTGCAGCAATTTTGCCAAACAAGTTCCACGTTTTTGTTTCCTGTTTTACCGTAGCTTTACTTGAAGTTCTGAGTCCACCATTGTGATAGAGGGCTAAGAGTGAAGCCATTGATATGAAAATCTTTTTTTTTTTTTCTCATGCAAATGAAACTCATTGTCACTGGAAAGGTTTTGCGCTCAGCGAATAGCCTCGTCTTTAAAGTGAGGGTTTTTGAAACTCGAAAATGACCCACACTGTGTATCATTTGAATGAATGATAAAGCAATTATTGAATTCCGCTATCGTATGATCTGAAAAATCATGCAGAGCTTGGAGGGTGTTATCCCTCCCCCTTAATCTTCATTATTTCTTCAGATCATACAGAACCTTATGCAATAATAAATAATTATAATTAGGTAAGGTTTTTGTGATATCCAGAATAATCAAGGTCAAGGTAGGGTTGGCTGATAACACTTACCGAGACTTTGAATATTCTGGATATCACAAAAACCGAATCTAATAACTGTTTCATTATACATTGAACGAAAAAAAAAAAAAATTGTCATAACAGTAGGTCATGTTTTTGCTTCTTCAATTCACTGATGGCAAGCAACACAAAGCACACGAACTTGACATGATTACCCTTAGAAATCATGCACCGCGGTCATACATAACATGATTACCTATGACCTTGAGTGTCCTTGACATGATTATTGTATAATCTGCAGCTAGATGACGTCCCAGGCGTTGATTTCGAAAATTTACTGTACGCTTTTGGCCAATCAGAAAAGAGATATGAGTTGAATGTATAATAATTGCTAATTATTATTCTTTGAGCCTGGAATTGAAATTGTCAGGTTGTGCGAAAGTCTACTTGGTGCACTTCTTTGGTAGGTTGTATTTTGACTTTTAAGAGCAAAAGGCATAGCAAAACGCTTTAGGAACCGCTTCAGACTACAACTCAAATCATGTCAAATAGAGAAATTCCTGATGTATAGTTGACAAACCCACCATAAAATATCTTTGGGGGCAACGGTCCTTTTGAGACACAATCCTGATGTCTGTAATCGGAGGGTATTGTGTTTCCTGCATCTCTGAGTGCTCTAAGTCAACATGGAGGGTTTAAATTTCACATAAAAGCCATGAGGGACATGAGCAAGAAGATTACCCGTTTTCCTCTTTCAGTTTCCTCTAGAACAAACTCTTCGTAGAATGTCGGCAATCATCGGTTTGCTTCGGTAGAAATCCCAGAATGCATTTCCAGAGATCGCGCAGGTGATAGTTTTGAGAAGAGAAGATGGCTTCGAATGAAGGAAACCAAGCGATCAACACAGAAAAGACATTTGACAGCAACTTGGAAAACTTTCAGCCCGTTACAGAACAACCGTTTGTGAGCAGCAGTTTAGTTCAACAACAAGGGGAGCCTGTTAGTTCCTATAATGTGCCAGAAGGACCAGAAAGCGCGAAAGACAACGATCAATCACCTGGTATGAGCTTCCAGATTCTCTCAAATTTTATTCTTTATGTTAGCTTCTACCATCTGTGAAATAGGAGAATTGAGATTTTAACCGTGCCCCTTAACCGCAGCTTCTTGAAGTAATTCTTGTGTGACCGAAATGGGAGTTTATCCGGTCATGGAGTTCAAGAACTTACTTTCGAACGAACAAGTATTAGTTGAAACTGACGGCTTGCTTTGTGCGTCAGTACGCGTATCAAGTTGTGTTCGAACCATCGATCTCCCTTGTCTGTTCTTTATGTGGTCACTCTCCGCGCTATTCTCACGAAGAAGCTTAGCTAGCGTAAGTTGATCAATTTCTTTCCAATCCTTAGCTTCTTCGTAATGAACGAAAAGTGATCGATGGGATGTTTTTGTGTGGCCTTTAAAAAGAGTTTTAAAATTATTAGAGTTGTGTTGTCATTGGAAGATTAATCGCCTAGACATTAAAGGTTTAGTTTTCGTGGCTAAGAGAAACTTAAGCTTGTACTAAAAGTGCAGAACCAAAGTGCGTTCAGATCTTAAATTCACAGATTGTGATGTTCATCACAAATAATTAACTTCTCAGTTAAAAACCGTGGGGCGAATTTAATACGAATACATCCAACATGTTATTTCTGCTTCCTCTTTGGACTCGCGAAACGAGTTCAGGTATTGGTGGACATACTTGTAATATATTGTTGTGATCAATACCCTTTCATAAGTGCCGACAGCATACAATAAAGGCGAATCACACACAGCCTCTTTGACCTTTTTAAATTCAAAGCTGCAATTTTCTTACCAAAACGTGTACAAATTTGGTTTTGGCATATTTGCAGAGCATTATGTGTTTTTTCAAATTTTTAGTCAGTGGGTGCATAAAGAATCTAGCCAATAACATTTTCATACAGATACCCCTGAAAACAAGCAGGAAATCAGAACAAGTTTTTGGGAGCTGTTACGCAGCTGTCTGTATCAGGGATTTAGATGGCCTGTAACACAGGAGATTAGAGGAGGAAGGAAGATGGGTATTCTCGTCAAACTATTTGAAGATAATACCCATCTCTTGTGTGTTATTTAATGCCACACACATCCTACACCTGTTTGGAGAAATTTCAGTGTATCTGGGCTTTGTTTGAGGTGCAAGCTAGCATGCAATTGTCGCATAATATTTTTGAATCACTTATTCATACCCCAAGTACTAATATGTGCTTACATCGAAGTCTTGCAGTTATGGCTCAAGTGATAAATGCATGTGAAATGAATTTTGTTGGCCAAACGACATGTCTGGACAAGCGAAGGATAAACTTTTTTAAGGGGAATATTTCTTGTGCGGGTCATACAATCACCCAGACGTGCCCTTCAGCACTTTCTAACCCCTATACAGGGTAAAAACTATAAATATCATGGTTCAAGTTTGACATGTATTTGGTTAAAGTTTAACCAATAATCTGAAATCAAAACTTTGTTCGTGATACTTTCTGGGATCAAGCAAAGAAATCTGGCTACTTAGTTTCACTTGTCTGGTACTGGTGGATCTCTCCCCTGACAATACTCCCTTCCTTAGGTGTCAAGAATGTCATACACTGTAAGTGTGTCCAAAATAATGGAAATTATTAAGGTCGCATAAATTAGTGCTCCACTTAATTATCGGCAGAGAAATTAACATTTTCAAGTCGAATTAAGGCAGCATAAATTAACTGGAATTTTTATAATTTGCATTAATTTCTTGAAGTGTTAATTTCCTGTAATAAGGTAATTTAATATTACATCTTTTACAGCCTCGTCCTCTTCAGAAGATGATGATAACGATTCAGAGTATCAGGTATCAAGTAGTGCACCAAACACAAGTGCTCTAGAGACACTAGTACGCACTGCTTGTGAGAGTCTTGCAGTCTCCACTCTTCTTGCTGGAAGCTCATCAGGCACAGTTGACACACTTAATGTACCTGGACAACAGACGCCATCTAAGGATCCTGCTGTAGCCAGATCTACTAGTGACGCTGGATCTTGTCAAGTGCCTAGCTCAAGCAGTGTGTCCAATCTTTTCCCAGCATCTACTAATGCTCTTGATCAAGCTTCTTCCGACGATGCAGTTTTTAGCGTTATATTTGGGCACAGCAGGGAACAGAATGTTGCAGAAGGTACTCCTGAAGGACAGCCAGGCAGTTCGTCATCTTCCAAAGATTTCCAGGAATCAGCATTAGATTTAGCTCAGCAAAGTCTACAAGACATTGAAGATGCAGAGGTTGGTGAAAACACTTCTTCATTATCTTTTTTCACTTTTGTATGTTATTTAGTAAAAAATGAAATATTTATTTAAACACATGTTAATATTATTGACTAATAACAATAATGCATTCTGATCAAAATAAAAGTTATTTATTTTTTTGTTTTCTTATAGTGTACATGTATTTAATAATGGTACTTAAACTTACAATGGTTTATATTTTTTTGACCAGGATTTTCCTGTGTAAAAAGATGAGCATTTCTCTTTCATTAATTTTACTCTGATTAATTTATATTTGTTTGTTTGTTTTATTATTTCTGCTTCAAAGGTCTCGGCAGAAGACTTAGAGAAGAGACGAGCTAGTGAACGCGAAAGAAAAAGAAAACCTGTGAGATTTCAGTCACCAGAAGATGAATTTAAGATAAAAAAGAAAAGAAAAAGAAGACTTAATCCTCTTCTCAGAGTCCCTCGGCGTGATCCTGCCACCCCATTCAAGTGCGACTTATGTGGTTCTCCATACGTTATTAATCCTTCAAGGCGTGGAAACAGACCTAAGCTGTCTACCCATCAACCTAGTCCCAGGCACAAGGTTGATCCAACCACAGGAAAGACACTTACCCTCTGTAATGCATGCGGTGAGTAACATGGAACCTCGATGTAACAACTATACAACAAAGTCCTTGGTATAACAAATGATTTTCTTTATCCCAGTAAAATAAATTATGTGGAAAAGGACCTTGATATACAGTGTATTGAAAACGTAACCTTGCTAAAGGGATACATGAATAGCAATAAAAAAAATTCCATTATTTACTCTCAGCAGTATTTATAGCACAAATGCTAGTGGGGTCAAGCAAATGCCTGAAACAAATAATTTAAATCAAACATGATGGGATTAAGAATCCCGACTGGCCAGATGTAAACCAGTTGGCTATTTACAAAGGTGGTCGAGGATTTAAACTTGGAGCTACTGAGAACAAATCTAGCTAGCAGTCGGGATGAGACTCGAACACAGTGCCTCCGAAATGCAATTCCAGGGCTCTAACCACTTGGCCATGCTTCCTCCTCCATATATGTAGAAAAATCCAAAAAGTACATTGTACGTGTGCTTCTTACATTGTATGAACCTCTTTAGTTCAAGGCTCAGAACCAGCAATTTTAATGTACTATTGATACTGATATCAATATTGATTTACTGTTTGTTTTAGGGTTGTCATTTGATCGACCCAAGAAGCAAAGGAAAGAGCGTGCTGAGCCTGATCCTGAAGAAAAGAGAAAATATCAAGAGGAAGCAAATCAGTTTGCTTTGTCTTTGGTGGAGGGACTTGGAGACCAAGATGGTAAAGCTTCATGCAAACGGATGCAACATTGTTGGCTAACAACTCCTAACATTGTTGGATGTTAAGGAGTAGGGTTTTTTGCTGGTCGACCTTGCGAAAACATTGTGCCGCCAACCCTACTACATGTACTTGTTACATGTTGGGTCTGTTTGCACACCCTGTTGGGAGTTGTTTCATTCTTTTGCACACCACTGCCAACACGTTGTTGTGTCTGTTTGCACATACCTTAATATAAACACCTAATCAGCATGCAAAGAAAGTAGTGTTGATAGCTTGAAGCTGGTGGATTTTGCCATCAGGCTAATGAATTCTTTCCTTAACTTGCCCGACAGTGACGTTTTTGGGGGAAATTCAAATTACAGAAGAACTGTAATTAATCCTCCTCATCAAAAAGGTTTTTGGGCTACACTGTACAAGTCATTGTACTGAAATGAAATGTTTTGGGCTACTGCATGCTACAGTGTAACTACAGTTTGCCCAATGGCAAGCTGTAAAACTGACCCTGGTGTGTTCAAACATTTTAAAAGTGCAAATTTGGTTCCATTACAAAAGTAACCAATTAATACATGGACACTGCATACTTTATGCTCTTTTGACCTGGGCAGAGAATCACAGTGTAGTCTATTTGTTGAATTTGTTTTTTGAGAGTAAGTCAAGCTACCAACTGTTTCAATTCTTGATTTGAAAATCAAGATTCTTTTCAAGTATAAGTATAGAGTCATGTAACGTCTGGAGGACCAAAGCATGCATGAGTGACTGTCAATTTTAGATGCGAGCAGTACTGAATTCGAATATAGTTGTAGTTGAATTTTATGTAAAAATGATGGGATCTTCCATGTACATGGTATAATATGGTACCACCCTTCTTTCTCTGTTTTTCAGCCGAAAGGCTCTGCTGTCCTCATTTTAAATTTAGAGCGTGTGGCTGTTTGCAGAGCTATGTTATTGGGGATGGTAAGTACTTACATGTAGTGTACATGAAGTGAGTGATTTTGTCTTCTATTAAGTAAAATATAGTTTCTATAATGTAAATTAGCAGGATTTCTTTTGCTTCCGTACCTTTTGCAGTTATATAGCTGCTAGCAGCCTTATTTGGTAATAGCGTAAAGGTGAACTTTTATCAATACTGCCATCATTTCAGTAGCTTGCGAACGCAGATGAATTTCCAGTCGTTGGTTCTTACCACCCAAAAAGTAAGTTTTCAGGTGAAGAGTTCTAAGAGACAACCAGAAAAAAAATTGCGTTTGCAGGCATTATTTCAGTTGGAACTTTATTTAATGTTAGCAATTTTTTAAATTTTGTTTGACCCTGCACTATTGTATTTTGAAAACAGTGCTTTAAGACTGGCTAGTTTTCTATTGTTTTTTTGTTTTTTTGATTCAATGAACGTGCAGTATTAGACTAATCTTTGGTGGTGCAGGTTCAAAAATGTTTTGGACCCTTTACTCCCCTTAAGAGTAACTTTCTTGAATCAGGTTTCTTAAAATAATGCAAGGGTGTATTGAATAGTCAATCACTTTTGAGTCCCAGTAATTAAGTGATTGTTGTTGCCAAAGTATATGCCTTCATGGAGGGCAAACAACTATTAAATTTGAGGAATTAAAAGAGAGAGTTTTAATTTTTGTTGTTGTACATGTATCATCTAATGCTCAGTATGTCCTGTTTATGAGAACACAAAGCAAAACTCTTTTAAGTCTCTCAGTTTAAATATATATTTCGATTTTGTTGTCTGTGTAAATTTAGGCAGTAACATGCAAGAGTCACGGGATCGAGCCAATGATATGTTGCAGCTGCTCAAGAAAGCGAAAGAACTCAGCTCTAAAAAGTGCTACAACATTGAGGAAGTAAGAAACCAAGCCAAAACATCAAAGAGGTAAGTAAGGCTGTATTAGAAAACAATACGAAAAACACACTGCTGCGAGGCATTAGCTGATTAAAGGTAATAATTATCAAAAAATAGCGTTCGTGGCCAAAAATTTATTGTAAAAGTTTATTTGTATGGGTATATTTATGAAATGCATTAGCAAACAAAAATACTATAAAAGTTGCAATAAAAATTACCTTATCTTACTTCCGTGGTGTATTACTTGTTGTCTGTGCTCTAATTATCCCAATTCAAGACGATTTTGGCCAGTTTTAGAGTGGAAAACCAAGAGATCTACAAGTCGCCAAAATTGCCTTGAATTGGAAAAGTATGGCACAGACAACAATTAATACACCATGGAACTAAGAGAAGGTATTTTTTGTTGAGAATTTTTTTCTCGTTTTGTTTTCTAAAGCATATCGTAAATATCCCTGCACTATTTATCTCTAATGACTCACAGCTTAAGCTTGGGTGGCCTGTGATTATACAAGTACTCAGGTACACCCTAATTACACACACTTGGGAAATGTATTAGGCTGGCCACTGTAAATTTTACGCAGTGTTACAGTGTTGTCTTTGTCCGAAATGCCTTAGCCAGTGCTCTTTCTGCTTTTTAGGTCTAAGAACATTGGACTTGGTAATGGCCAAAGAAAGTCCAGTGAATTTGAAGAATTTGTACTGGAAAAGAGGAAGTACCTCAGGAATGACGTAAAGCTTTGTGAACGGGCCACTCAGCGAGTGCTCCTTTATTCCAACAATTTCTTGCACAAGCGACTCAAGACAGACCCTACGGTAAGCTAAAAGTATGATGCCTACTTCTTGATACTGTTGTCAGTTAGAGGAAAGTGATGCTAGGGTTTTTGATAATGTCTGCTGAGTTGTGCCCAACTGTGATTCTTTTGTCACAAAATCGATCTATCCTACATAAATTTTGACACGGCTACGTTAGTCCTAGTTGTATGTCATAGCAGGTCATCCTTTCCTGCTATATCTTTTTAAGCAGGATTATTCATTTTATTGTGTAATTTATGTTATTAATTATTTATTTATCTAATATGCTGCAACTAAAAATAACAGTGCTGACCAATTCACGTGCATGGGAAACCGTTGGGAATTGAAACTATAGATGTAATATATCAAGCGTGAGACGCAGTGTTTCATCACAAGATGAAACACTGAGAAGAGAGCTAAAAATACAACGCGCGGCGGAGTATTTTTGACGAAATTCGAGGTGTTTCATCTGGTGATGAAACACTGTTTCGAATGCTTGATATTATTTCTCAAACGAAGTGATTTAAAGAGGAGAAATTAAATGAGAAGTTTTTATCTTATTTCCAAACACTCACAAACATTTAAATTTAGAGGTAAAATAGACCAAATTTAACGCTCAACTTTGTCCTTATTAATATTTATATCACTGAACGATTGGCCATAGTCTCTCAAGGAATTTGTTTGTTTGTTTGTTGCTGCTGTTGTTATTGTTGTATTATTTTTACTATTATTCCCAGACTAAAATAAGAAGTCGTTAGTTAATACCTTCTGTATACATGTATACGAATCGCTTAATACAAGCATATGCAGCTTACTTATTAGGTTATTTTCTTTTCCAGAAACCACTTCGTGTCGAAAGACAAAAAGGAAAAGCTGCTCTTGGAAAATTAAGAGTGATCGAAGATCTCCCTAAAGAGCGATGCTGTGTGGATAATTGCGTCATGGTGAGTTGTGAGATAAAAAGAAAGAAAGATCCCACGAAAGCTGAGTCATCATGCAGGAATACACAGATTATTTTGCGATCCATTTGAGCATGAATGTCGAAGAGCTGTTAAGTGGCCACTTCGGCGAAGACACAACACAAGTGGCAGCTTAAGATACTTGTTTGTTGGTAGTGATTGACTGACGATTTTATCCACCGTGACTCTGCTTACCGATCGAGGAACAGAGGTTGGCTGGTTAACTGAAAACCGCTTAGTAGAGGTTTGACTGTATCATATAAAGGCATAAAGGAGAGTTGCAGATAACATTTGGTCATCGGACAATGTCTCACCAACATTAGCGTTCGAAGAAACCCTATCCGCGATTAGTCTGCTACACAACCGTTTTTAGTGTCGTCACTCAGCGCTCCTCCCCACAAGAGGAACAAAAATTTGAACCAAAAAAGGGAACTACATTGTAAAATTTGAACCAAGGATAAAATTGAACCACACCATCCTAGCAGCCTCAATAATCATTCGATTTAGGTAGTGGAGATTACTGAGAGGGTACTAAACTAGGCCTCTTATTCTTACAACAGCATTTTTTAAATTTACAGATTGCTCTAACACATGCAAACCTTCTAAAGCAGTGGCGTGACAGAGCCATCTCTGGGCAGACAGAGGCGCGGAGAGTTCTTGCCGAAATGCTCACCCCTTCCGGCGGGGCTCGGTCCAATTGTTACAAGTTCATCTCTTGGGTAACAGGTTGCAGTCATAGTACTATCGGCAGAGTCAACGAACAGATGAAGGAAACAGGCAAGTGTTTTTTTTCTGTTATCACAAGGGTATACCTGAACATCGTTTTAGGTAACATCTATTTGAAAGTCTTCTGATTGGGGTGAAATTTTCACTCGGTAATGTTAATTAAACGGGGGGTTTCGTAAACGCCTTCGACACTTAAGTGCAGTAGAGCCTCGATATAAAGATCCTCTTTATAGCGAAGTCCTCCGTATAACGAACGATTTTCTTTACCCCAGTAATAGTAAATATATGAAAAAAAAAAAAAGCTCGTTATAGCGACGTTCCACTGTAGGGACATACAAAGCTGCAGGTTTATCGTTTTAAGTCACGTCCACATTAATTTTGGAAACGCATAAGTGTAGGGGTGGCCATAAATTAGACTGTATGACCTCTGAATCATTCTTTCTGGGCAAATGCCTTGTAAAGCAATAACCTTCCCCAAACTAAATAGAAACAGAATACATGACCGGCCAATTGAATCTATTGTTCCACAGTTCATCCAAGAAAATGTGTTAATCACGTGACCGTACGCCCATCCGTTTAGCAAACAATCAAGTCAATTTTAAACTGGATTCAATTTACCTGTTATTCTCTTTTACCTGGGATCTTAGGTGGAGATCGTGAACCTCCATCCCATGGCCTCATAAAATGGTGGCAGCTGAATCCCAAACCCAAGAAACCAAAACTGAAACCAGTATCCCAGCAACCCGTGCAAGCTGAAACAGTGCAACAAGTGGCCTTGCAACAGATCCAACAGACTTTGCCTCAGGTCAATATTTTACAAGCCGCAGTCAGTTCAGCAGGCCTATCAGCTGTTATGATGCAACCCGCAGTATCGTCGGCAATTCCAGCTCTGACCACTGTAAACACATCACAACTTGCGCAGACTCAGTTGCTGCCAACTGTCACCTTCACTAATGGCACTATTCAGGTGCAGTCAGCACCCATTCAGGTCAGTTTTTTCAGTGTTACCCCTTTAAGCCCCGATATCCACTTACTAATTCTCAAGATTGATCTCCATACAGTACCTCAATTAATTAGTTGAGAGAATTTGATCAAAGATCAACGCATTCTGCCTTTGGTCATCGTTGTCTTAAATCTTATCACTTATATCGTTCAGAGAAAATTGATGTTGGTCACTGGTTTTTTCTTAAGTAGCTCAGCTTGACATGCCTATTTCTTAAACGCATTCTGTAAAAAGAGCTGAATTTACGCGCAGCTTTAAAGAAGTGCTTCCATCAAATTACAGCCAACTCTCCCTACTACCCAAACCCATCCTACCAGAAAGAGTGAGTCATTTCAGTACTACACGAATATACGCACTCAGTGCACTTAGTAATCACAGTGATAGCGAAGTAAGCGACTGTCTTCAAATATCCTCCCTCGCACGTTTCGGAAACACACATAACGCCGCGTGTGCTTAAAAGAGCATTTTCCATATTTCAAAAGCGCCGACCTCAAACTGAGTTGCCTTGATTCCCCCCCCCCCCCCCCCCCCCCCCCCCCCCCCCCACGTTTTTTTTAACCCCCCCCCCCCCAAAAGAAGGCGCCCCACAGGGGGGGGACGACCCCCCCTCTAATAAACCACCCCGCCGCCGGCGCGCCCTTTCTCCGCCTCCTCCCCCCCTCCCCCGCCTGCATCCTCCCCCCCCCCCCTCCGGCGCGCACACCCGATCCCCAACCCTTTTTACAAACACAAATCCGCGCCGGTTTGTTAAAAAGCCCTTTTTCAAATTTTCAAACGCCGCCCCCACAAACAGTTTCCCCTTTTTCCCCCCCCCCCCCTCCCCTCCTCCCAAATGAGTAATTTTTAAACGCCTCCCCCGAATAAGAGGGGTACCGATCCAGGGGAAAGCAGCCTCCTTTCGAATTACACCGCCCTTGCGCGCCTAGTCTCCTTCGCAGCCGTTTGGCCCGGAGTCACGCATTGCTCCTCGCCCCCACTACAGGGCTCGAACCACGTCCTGTTGATCAAAACTGTAAAACATGATATGTTTCAATCTTTGGTTAAAATTAATTTTTACAGCTCCAAACAACCCAAGTGCCTCAAGTTCAAGTACAAGTCCAGCAACAGCTACAACAGCAGCAACTTCAGTACCAACAACAGATTCAACAGCTTCAGTATCAACAGCTTCAGCTGCAACAACAGCAACAGCAGATTCAACAACAACTACAACAAACACAGCAGCTACAGCAACAGGCATCACAGCAACTACAGGCTCATGTAAGTTATCGCGGCTACTGTTGCGTGACGGTTTGGGTTGTCACGCAACATTTTGTGCCCGGAAATGGTTGGGGGAAAAACCATCATAATAGAAACCTTAAGTTTCGAGGACGAAGACGACTATCCTCCCACGCAGACGTTCTTAGGGTTCGTCACGCGTTCATGCCCCACAAACGTCTGCTGAAACGAGCGGTAAATTCCTTTCCCATTGTTCGCAAATATCAGCTGGAGCTCACGTGCTGACTGTTGGAGAACCAATCGACGCTATTGAAGTCAGCCAAACACGACGTGCAAGCTCGATAGAGTGTGATACATGACCAAAGAGTCTTACTCCGGACAAGAATGTAGGCTATAAGGGTTGGCTTTTTGTGTATTTCTCTTTGTGCGAAAGTGTACGAGTTAACCGAGTAGTTTGTTCTAAAAGTGTAAGTTCTTCACCTTTCATGAGACCTTGCTGATCTTTTCTAAAGTCTCGCGCGAAATTTCTCCGGGTCCAAAGTGCACTTCCCAGATCTGGGTGTGTTGTTCTTGGTCTACGTTCTTTTTCGTCTTTTTTCGGCAGACGTTTGTGGGTCAGGAACGCGTGATAAAACTTGTAAAACCAAATTGTGCAAATTTGAACCTTGTTTGTTGTTGATTTTCTTTACCAGGGGACAAAGTATTTTCTCCTCTCCATTCACACTTAAATTTCACAGGTTGAATTTGGTTTTGATGCTATTTCATGTCGTAGGGTTCACTTTTCGACTCAATCTAATCCGATCGATTTTAGGCACTGGTACCAGACACCTTTTGTTTAGAACATGGCCAACTCGTGCAATTAGTAAAAGTGCTCAAAATCCTCCGTATCATGAGACATTTTAATGGAATAACCTCTACTTGTTTTCAGGTTGTCCATCAGATCCAACCCGTACAACAGATACAGCAAGCAACTACTCAGCCGCAACAGCAACCCCAACAAGGAGCGCCACCACAGGCACATCAACAGCAACAAACACCTCAACAAGCAACACAAGCTCAGCCACAAACAGCACAGCAATCGGAATCGCAAGAAACACAAACCAATGCCACCATTGCTTTAGCGACGACAAACGCGCTAACCACTGCTACCCTACAAGGAAATCTGACAGCCACCCAGGCAACCCCGCTGAACACTGAAGGCCTGTTTACCGCGGACGCATTTCAGATCCTCAGTGCTGTGCAACCTCAAGTTGTGACGCTTCCAGTCTCGCCCCAGTCTACAGTGGCCCAGGCCGTACCTGTATCTCTGATCCAAACTCCTAACGGACAACAGGCTCTGCAATATACTGGGAATTAAACCCTGGGAGCTTTTGTTAATCGTCTATCAATGTTCCTTCATGTAAATTGTCACTTGTAGATAGAAATTTAATCTGCTCCTTTCTCATTGCTCTTGAGCAGAAAAACTATGTAAATTATTTTGAGAGGAACATAGGAGAAAAGGGAAAGATTGAAATGAAAGGGAAAAATTAAGGTGAAACTCATACAGTAATTAATTTTTTGTAGAGCGTGTAAATTGTCGTTTTCGAGTACGAAAACGGTTAATCCGTGCCCAATATAGCCCTTTAAGTCCCAATAGTGACCATCGTCAATTTTCTCCTAACAATATCCATATGTTGCCAAGAGAAATGGTTATGAGAGTGAATAAAATGATCACTAAAGAGAAAATGCTTTGATCTGTTATCAAACTCTCTCAACTAATTCGTTAAAGAAACGTATGAAGATCAGTATGGAGAGTTTATATGTGGATATTGGGGGTTAAAGGGATGGACGGATAAACAGATGGATAGCAGAAGGCACCTTAAGGTCCGACAAGGTGTCTACATCAACGTCCACTTGGCGAAAGTTGCCCATCGCAGCGGGGACAACAAAATAAATAACTATAGGTGGTTTTCACGTTACGTCATCGCCGCCATGCTGGTGGACGGTAAACAAAAGATCGCTCATTAGCTTGCTTTGTTTGTCCACCAGGATTTGTTCATTTCACCATTGTTTTTTGTGTCTCCCGAGATTGCATGAAAACCACCTATAGTTTATAAAGCCGCACAACAACACTGCACGTGCATCACTTTTTTTTTTGTCATTGTACGATTACGACGTGAAAATTCCTAGGGAGCTTTAGCATCGACAACGTCGAAGACGTCACTTTTATGATGAATTCGCCCTTTTTAAAACTTTTTCGCCTTTATACCAATTCGCTGAAAATGTCAAATGTAGGCGAAGTTCGCTGGAGTTGATTTCTTGGGGACCGCATTCTCGTTTAGAAAGAGGAAGAAAACTATTGTCCTCGATTTCTCTTGGGATAACTGTAATGCCCAGAAGAATTTGGAAACAATGGTTATGCAAAATTTTAGGGGGTAAACAAGTTTTATTATGGTCTATGTGAAAGTGGTTAATGGAGCACTTTCACTTACGTGGCCTTTATCTATGCAAAAATATTGGAACAAAAGGAAGCATTTACATAAGAAAAGTGTTCAACTGCTCCAGGATTGGTTTGAAACACCATGGCCGCCGTGACGTCATGTGAAAACAAGCTTGGACCCACCATTTAGAGCCTTGACCGTAGCGGCACAGTATGATACATCATTTGCTACTCCTCGCTTGGTATAAGAGGGGTAGAAGGGGCCATTTCTGGGTTGTCCTCTCTTTCAAGACCCAGAGGTTAAGCGCAAAATCATTTTGGGGGGAGGGGGTGGGGGAATAGCCCATCCTGAGTCTTGTTTTTTGAGTGTGTCTGTTGTATTACTTAGGACCGGCCTGTGCCTTCACTTCCACCAGTTATGGCCAGGAGCCCTTAACCTGGATATCGTGAGAATTCAGGTAAAGATCACGTAAACGGGCGTTGGAGTGAAGACAAGTATAATACCAATAAACAGGTTCAGATCACAGGGACACCCAATGGATCTGTTCATCAAAATATCTGTTGCTGGCTTAGAGATGTGGAAGTAATGATATGTCCTCGGAAGGAAAGTGTTGTTGGGAAAAAGACAATTCAGGGTGTCTGAGGGTATTTGATGTCTAGAATAGCTGTTACTTGTTATTTGTCAGGATCTCGTTTAGGAGTGGTATTTGACGATTTTGGTAGCACACACGGCGGCAAAAAAATAACTTCGTAAACCAGTATTAACTACGCCAATATTCACTTTAATTATTCCGGCATTGTTATATCTATTTACATGTTGTTGCCATGCTTATACAAGGCCAGCAAAACTTGTCAAAATGATTTGATGGAATCGGCTGACATTGGAAAAGAAAGAGACAGAGGAGGTACTGTGGTAATTTGTCGAGGGAGAAGGGAAAACTTAACTATTCTTCTAAGAATCAGAAGGGTCAAACCACAAAAGGCAACAGCATTTTTTACCTTCCTAAAGAGTTTAGCATGACAAAATGACAGACAATCTCGTTTTCATGCAAAATTGCTGAAGGCCTGAATTCATCATGTCTTCGCGGGCTAAATTGGTTAAGTGTGTTTAAAGATTTTTTTTTCCATATACGTAGATTTCCATTTATGAAAAACCAAAAGGTTGTTTATCATTGGGCCCCTTTAACCACAATTATTGTTACTACGCCAGTCCAATAAGAAGGTGCTCTGTGCGAGAGCGCCCTGGCATTTAATGCCACCCCGGTAACTTTGAAGAGAAATAAGAGACCAAGTAGTATCTGCAAAATAATTATGTTGACGATGCAACCTTCACCCTGCTGGTAGAGCATCTTTTTAGGAAGGTGAAAACGAGGCTCTGTCTCTGTCTGCGTCAAGCCTTTGTTGTCGCCGAAGCCCGAACTTCTGTACTAGTCAGTCTTGTTCATTACTGGAAACAAATACTAACCTATAGAAAGAATTCGTTCAACAACTTCCACCTTGTAACTATTTATAAAAATAACCTCCATTTGTCCCGAAAATTAAATTGGAGAATACGAGAACAACATTGGCGTGAAATATCTCTTGTTAGGGTGTGCTTTTTGTTTTGTTTTGATTCCTTCCTTCTCGTTTTCACCGATCTGCAAAACCTAGTTAAAATGAAAGTTGCTGTCCATTACGTACTAGGAATAACGATTAGCAAGATCTTACGAATGGTATACAGACTACTGAATATGCTAAGTGGTACGCGTTCTCTGATTGGCTGGCTCGGGAGAAAATAGAATTTAATATTCAAATCCGGGTATCGCAAGAGATTTTGTTTAAATTAAGTCGTCTCAAAATTTGCTAAGGCGATTGAGACGACCAAGCGTACCTGTGGTGCAATTAGACAGAACTAACGTTTCTACATATGCTAGTCGGATAGTTGGATAGTCGTCCCTATCGTCCCAAAAACACGAGGCGATATAGACGATCCCGACGTTTATACGGAAACCAGGTCCCAGTTGTTCAAAGGCTGGATAGCGCTATCCATCGAATAAATCACTATCCAGCGGATAAATATAATTAGGAAAACTAATTGGGATAACACTACCCACTGGATAGAGGTTTATCGAGTGGATAGCGTTATCCACCTTTTGAACAATTGGGACCAGGCTTTATGCTCCATATCATGAACTGCAAAGACACAGCTGACATTTAAGGTCTTGAGGGCACAGGTGGCCGACCAGGTACTGGAGAAGGAGGAGCTGGCTTTGCTGGTGCATTGGGTCTCCTGTGGTGAAATAGGCACAAAAAGAACAAAAACGTTACACATCAGAGGCATTTCACATCAGATCCTTTTTTATTGACCCGTAAAATGTTAGTTCTCGTCCACAAGTTACTGCTATGTGTGGAAGAAGGTATAGCATTTTCAAGTATTCGCTCTTACGGACATCTAAAAGGCATCGGAGTCCAAAAAGATGCAACTTATTTTCCTCCAGACTGCTGTTAAAGTTCGCAGTACCTTATGATTTTAGTCCCATTCATTCGACCTTCGCTTTGAAGTATTTTTCTTTGAGAAAGACGATTTGTTTTTTTAATCAACGACACAAGTAGCTCGAAAGAATAAAATCCGAGTACTCCTAATTGGCTTCAAACCTATGACCTTCTGGTTACTGACCCAGATACTCTACCACTGAGCTATAGGAGACTCATGGGACCTCAGGCCATGTGACAAATATCCTGCATACTTCTAGGATTTGAATGTCCATATGTGCTTATGCGTAATAATAGAAAAGTGATTGAGAATTTTAAGCCAAGGAGAATACATGGAACAGGGTTCATACAAATAATTGCAACCATTTTTTAAGGACTTTTCCAAGACCACATTCGATTTTCAAGGACCACCTACCAGGAATGTAATTTCGTACATTGTAAAAAAAATGCACATTCTCATTCCATTCCAACAGGACTATAAAGGATTGAAGTGTTTCCTCCACCAACTTGTCTACATTTTTCAGTTTACTTGTCTTAATTTAATAGTTAATTCTTGCATAAAACAAAAAATGCTTTACGTAAATCACTTTAAACGTCTCTGAGCATGATACATATTGTCATGGAAAACCAAAAATCAATTTCAAAAAACACTTTCCAGGCCACCACATTATTAGTTGAAGAAAATTCAAGGAATTTTCAAGGACAAGCACAGAAATTTAAAGGCTTTTCAAGGACTTTCCCTAAAATTCAAGGACCTTTCAAGACTGTGCGAACCCTGATTGGAAAGATGTTATTTAGTCAGTGACTCGGAACCTATATCTTCTGGTTACTAGTCCAGATGCTCTACCGCTAAGATACAGGAGACTCGTGGCAGCTAAGGCGTCTAAACAAGGTTCCTGTGACAACATCCTGCATACTCTTTTGAGCTCTTCAAATTCCATGACTTTTTCAGATTTTCTGGACCTTATAGACTCTCCTTGTTTTAGTTCAACAGACACAAACTCTGGTGTCCACCAAAATGTGTGCGGTTCGCGCTGTTTGATTTCTCGTCTTTGATCAACGTTGTCTTTGCTTTTTCATCTGCAGTAAATTACCTATTGAACAAATCTTTAATTTTCCATTACTTTCCAGGACCGACAATTAAATTCCATGACTTTCCAGGCCTGGAAAATGAAATTCTTAAATTCCATGATTCTCCTTGTTTTCCATGACCTGTACGAACCTTGTGCTAGGACAAGAATGTCGATATTTGCTTTTGCGCAATGATAGAGATGTGATGGTGAATTTTGAACCTCGTGAATACAAGAGAAAGATGATTTTTCAGTCATTTGAGCGTGGTAAAATATGCACTGCTCACCTTGGTACAGTTGGAGAACTGTCGGGTCTTGATGGCACGCTGGGGACGGGACGGGACGAGCGTGAGGATGGTGTGAGATTTGCACCCGAGGACGGTCGAGGTGGAGGCGGCTGTCTGCTTCCCCTTAAGAAAGAAAAACAATTACAAGTGCACTGGAAAAGTTCTTACAAGCACTATAAAAGCAAGTCACAGACTTGCAATCTATGGAGTACTACAAAAGTAGACTTTAGTGGTACGAATCAAATGAGACTCAGATACAGATTGCCAGATATTGCCTATAAACCATTTTAAGTCGGAGAAACAAAACGCACAACAACAACAACTAAAAGCGGGCATATACACACATTTCAAAAAAAAAAACAATTTTTTCCACTTCTTCGGGAAATCAGCGTACGATCAAACACAACCTGGGCGAACCTGGGAGGGGAAAGGATGGGGGCAGGGAGTGTAAAATAACGATGTTTGGTTGAAAAATAGATTTTCTGTAACGTAACAAACTTGTAAGGCAGTTTTTTTTAATCAAGTGTGCGGTCATCACATTTTGGCAGTAACACAAGGATTTGAATAAAAATTCTATTTCAAGAGAAAACTACTTGTCAAACCTTGGAGGTTTGTATGAGTCAGTTGAGTCCAGGTCTCCCGTATCCACAGGCGGCGGCAGTGCTGTGGTAATGGTGGTGGCGTCTATCTCGCCGATTATCCGTAGAGCTTCTTTTAAGCTGTGAAACATGCGCAACACCTCCTGTCGGCGAGTTATTTCGGCCTGGCTTTCTTGCATCAGGTCATTCTGAGCCATGAACAGTCATAATTAGAGACCTTTAGATTCTGAGACGAGGACGACTACTAGTACGAGATTTTCTCAATACTGAGTATTGCTGACGCGTGAACCAGCGTCATTTGGGCGGGAAAACGCGATAGCCGTCGTCACTTTACTACGAGATTTGGCGAGAGTCTCAGGGTGGCGGGAACAGGTTATCAAAGATAAGAAGTTTTATCATTTTGCTATGGAGAGAGGACTTAACCTCCTTCAGTATAAATAACTGTACTAACGTTTTTGGTGAAAAAAAAGGAAAATGAAGCTTTCGGGCTGTCTTTACGCGAAAAAACTTTTAGTTAAATCTCGTACTGTCTCGTACTCGTTCTCGTCCTCAAGTCTAAAGCGCTCTATTAACACAGGGAACATACGTGCGCCGATCGGGTGTTCAAGGAACTAAGGCCTGGGCCAAACGTCGAAATTTTAATTAGACGAACCAAACTCTAATTTGGGTCGACCTAAATTAAGTTAAGATCGCCTTTTGGGTCAGACGTCGAACTTCGCATCTAACCAATCAAACTGAATAAGACCAATAAGCAATTTTGATAAAGTTCTTTCAGACGAACTTAACTGAGCCAGACGTCGAAATTTTCATGAATTTAACTCACTAAGTTTGGTTCGTCTCATGAAAAGTTCGACGTTTGGCCTTGGCCCAAGGCGGGGACGGGAGCTAAAACGGTTTTTGTAATATGCATTCACAGTCTTTCAAATTTCATCGTCATTAGTTTACCTGCCTAAGGTTATCAAATGTAAGCGAATTCTCCATAAGTTGAATTCTTAGAAAGTAGATTAAAGACAACTTTTGTCGCTGTGTTTCCGTCCTTAAAAAACATCAACTTGTGCAAAACCACTACTCTGCACGTGCACCACACTTTTTGGTACATTTCTTTTCCGTCCCGTGCACAAATACGGCGTGAAATTTCTTAATGAGAGGTACTGTCAATGGAAATGTGAACACAAGAAAACGAATTTTCTCTCTATTTTTGAACTGAGATTTCGCAGCAGAATTCAGCACGGAATTGAAAAATGGCGATGAAGATTGCGGAAAGAACCTGAATTCACTTTTTCGCAGACGCCTTCACTACCGTCTTCCTCGTGGTTTCGTAACATTCCTAGAATCTAAAACTCAAGACGAGGAAACACAGGTGAGATTAAATTACCATAGATATACAGTAGAACCCCGGTAACTCGAACTCTGAAGGGAAACGAAAAAGTTAACATTTCGAGTTAGCGGAGAATTCGAATTATCGGGGTAAATTTCAGTGAAAATTTGATCAGGCTTAGGCTCAGGCTCTGTTCACACTGTACCGGAGAGCCTTTGCGCCGGCACAAATAAACATACCGGATAACGCTTCTGTTCACGCACAAGAAAGGTGATTTTGACGCCATTTCTGTAACGGAGCGAAGCTGCGCCGCACCGATCTCTAAAGTGGAGAGCCACTTATTGGATAGGTATTCATACTATACCAAAGAGCTTTTCGTGACGGCACGAAAAGCTCTTCGGCATAGGGTGAACATATCGGATATTTGATGGCGCACTTCCACCACAGCACTGAATTCTACGTTATTCCGTTGTGTCTGAGGAGTGAGTACATTAAATACCTTGACACAATTCCAGGGAAAAAGTACTAATCTGCCAAACGTATTTCAAACGTGAATCAAAGCTGTTCACAATAACTTTCTCTCACCTCTTTTTCGGTCAAATATAAATCTGCTAGCAACTCTTGGCCTATAAAATCTTTTACCTGTAATGTAAGACAGAGCAAAGAAGACATTCACTTATGGTTGTCGCCCCTGAGGGGAACAGTTCAGTATCTGCAATTTATCCATCCCCATACTCGTTCACCCACCCTCCATTCAGTTAGCAAGTCAGCCTTTTGTAAACTGTGTGACTTGCCTTGTAAATATAGTAAAAGGTGTACGCAGCAGCAGGTTGACAAGTTACAAACAACAGGTTTTAATTTAGAATGCATTTCTGCCTTCTTCACTGTTAGTTACAAGAAACCTAATAGTAAATTTGCAACTAGCACTGAAGAGGGCAGGTCAGACGTTAGGCCTCGTCCACTCGTATCTGGCGGATATTTTTGAAAACGGAGAAAATTGTTTTCCGTATTCGACAACATACGCATCCACAAGTAGCGTATTCAAATCGCTTTCGTCCGTACACGCGAAAATACGATAGTATCCCTTACCGGAATAATTTATGACATCATCGTATTCAAGTAAAGCAAGGAAGGCAGCTTACATTGTTAATGACAAAGAACATTACAGTCTTAGGCACTAGGTCCCGTATTGTCTTGCTGACAATCCTGATGTAAGAATCGGCTAGGGTTCGTATAGTTTCCACTTGTCGTTCCAGCTGAGGGTCCAGGGTACCTATCTCAACTTGCTGAGAACAAAAAAATTGAAAAAGTTAATGTGACAATGATACGGAAGAAAAAATGCGGAATGTATGAACAATAAGGTAATTGCGTCCGAAAGGAGCAGTAATGGTCTCTCATCGAACTCTTTTCTTTGTCACCATTTTAGCTGCCCCGCACAGCTTTTTCAGGGGCTTTTTCTTAACCGTGAAAAAAGATCTATTTTGCGCCTCGCTATATTCTAGATCACGTGGATCATTATCCGTTGGTACTCACTGTCTTCTCTTTGGCTAAAAGCTTACAACTAATTTTGGAAATCAGCGCAAACCAACAGATTAGTTAGTTGTCGGCAAACAAACAACTGACTAATCCGTAGGTTGCGCGAGCAATGCATGATTTCCAAGAGCAATGTTAAACTATGTTCCATTCGACGATATGTTTGTCGTTATTCTCTTCGAAAAGAAGAAAAGAAAAAGCAAAAGTCAGGTTTGATGACGCACTACCCAAACGGCAGTACAAAGAATATTATGGTATTTTCCGCGTCGGCCAATTTTATGTGAGCACAAAATTCTATCAACCACTTTAAAATTAGCTAAAATTGCTCACATTATATATTTCATCACGTGTTTGTTTTTTACCCCACTCAAACATTATCAGTAATAAGACGTATGGAACTCACCAGACTTTTATCATCTGAAAATACCCTTTCTGGGTAGACCCCCACGCGTAAGAAAGAAGCTTTCCAACTATCCACGACGTCTTGGTTTTCTCCAGTCAGTTCCAGACTTTTGTAATCTTTAAACAGGTTTCTAAGGCAATGTGACAGATAAAATACACTAAATACATTTTTTTCCAGTTCGATTCCCACAAAAGTTTGAGGCAGTTAGTTTTTCCGCTTAATTTGACAGTGATAATCATGCTATTGTAAACCATTGTTCGAAATGATTTCTACCGCTTTTTTGACACCTTAGATGGGTCTGCTTTGAGATATTCTGGAGGAATGGAATCGAAAAATTCAACAGGAATTGTTTATTTTGCTTGTGCAATCTCAATCTCAGATTATACACCGTCAATAACGACTACCAGAAAGCATACCTCACAACTTCGAGCCATAAATGAAGTAAATATATGAGAGAGAAATTCCACACTGCACTTCTTGACTCATCTGTGCGGTTTCAGGTATAAAATATTGACCATCTCATCGTGTTCATCACATGAAAATAATGCTGAGAGTTAAATCAGTCAGAGGGGCCATTTAAGTCACGTATCAGAAAATGAACAATTACGACAGACAGCTGTGACAGTAGTTCTACAGGCTCTAGGTCTCTTTGTTCAATAAACAAGCATTCGTCGAACTTAAGACTCACTTGTGATCCGGATTGAAGATAGCAAAACCATGCTTGCGCGAAATGAATCCGGCTTCGGCATCACGCAATCGTACGCCATCCAATCCCAACTGATATTTTTGTTCTTTTTCCTGGTTCGAAGACAATATAAAACATAAATGGGTTTTCCCAGAACCTGGCTATATGCTATTTGTTTCATAGTTTAGCTGTCAGTCTTTCCGCTGCAAAAGGAGTCAGACTTTAATATTGGTACCAAAGGGTCCGTTTTATATGTGGCTAAATGAAATCAGTTAGACCAACTCGGCCAGCAGTCTCTCTCTTGTGAATTTCAGGGGCGCCCTACGGCTTCGCAGGGGCCTTTGGGTTTTACAGCTTTTTGGCTGAGGTCAGTCCATTATGTTCACGATGCTTCTCTGTACTCGAGCTTGTTAGCCTGTTTGCTCCCTTCCCTGCCCTCCCTTTGGTAAGTATATGGTAAGTATTCTAGGATACACTGGTTAGAAATGTGACAGTGCCCGAGAGGTTGCCACTCACAGGGTTGTCATGGTTACGCGTTGCTCTTGGCTTTGGTTCTTGCTCTACCAACTTTTCAGGCTCTTCCCCCACGCTTGTCTTATCTTTGTTAATGAGTTTAAACTGATATCCATGTTATAGATAGGAATTGTATGAGGTTTGGTATCTCTGGGACCAAGACAACTCTCCGTAATAGAGAGATGAAAGTATTATAGAGGTAGGGAGTGTAAGATGTTTGGTATCTCTGGGACCAAGAGAACTGTCCGTGAATTGAACTCGTTATACTGATGGTGAGGTTTGGTATCTTTGGGACCAAAACAACTCCCGGAAATAAACACGCGCCCGCTAAAAGACTTTCTGATGTTTGTACAATTGACTAACAGGGAATGCTGAAAATGGATGGCCTCAAAAGGAAGTTTGCTCTCCCTCGCGCGTCCGCTAGACCGACCGAAAAAGCCCTGCGTGTTTATCTCGTTTAGCTAAACCAATTAGAGCGCTCCCTGGCAGTTCTCCCGGACCCGTTACACGTCTTAAAACGCAATACGAAACGAGTAGGAAGCTGGGTCGAATTAACTTTCGCAAAGACTTCTGGGGCTGAAAATTAAGACAGGGAAAAAAATTGACCAATAGCTGACCCGCGCGTCCCCAAGTAAGAATCTCAGAAATAATTGCGACACACATTTCGGCACCAGTCCTGTGGTCGCTTCTAAAGTGGCGAATTCTAGAAGAATGGAGCGTATTCACTGAGGTGGCCAGCCTCTATACAAATTCATTGGAACAAAAGAAAGTATTTACATATGAAAAGAGTTCAACTCTCACAGGATTTTCTTGGTAGACCAACATGGCCGTCGTTTCATTGTTTTCGAACACCAATATGGCCGCAAGCGACGTTATGTGAATACGCTCCATAAACACGCTAGGTCATGCTGCAGGACACGCCGAAGCCAATTGTAACAGTAAGTACACGCACACCAGACATGTCACAGGGACGTGTAGTGGGGAGACAGAATCCTGTCTCTGACTTGCCAATTTAGTCTTGATACAGTTGCAGAGAAGCGCTGTAAAACCGTAAAAATGGCCTCTCAACATTTTACTTAACCGATAGTTATTTGAACTGCCACATGTTAAGGGGGTATATTTCCCGCAAAAATAGTTTGCGTTCCCGAAATGCAGAAGTATAACTACACAAAAAAGATTTGTCCTTTCACTTCATCCCTGAAACGTGCGCTGTAACATGAACTCAAGTATCTTGAGTTTGAAACCCACCTCATCGTCCTTGTACCAGCAAAGTGTTTCGGCTAAAAATAAAAAAACAAAATAAGATGAAAATGAAATGGACATTATACTAACGCCAGGACATAAAGTTTGCTCAAAGTTAAGAGTGAGGATAAAAACGGAGGTCTTCTCAACCCAACCGGCATCAACTCAGAACTCCAGAATGCAATTTAAGTATTGATATGTGAACAATATTACCGTGATTACTGACGCTCAGTAACCTTTCCTACCCACAGGGTGGGTGCTTCGAGGTGGGCTCTTATTCGAGGTTGGGCGCTAATCGAGTAAATACGGTACATGCCTACATCGATTCTCAACGCGAAATCTTGATCGAAGCAGTAGAAGTAACTTTATGAACACCAATCCAAAACAACTTGTCACCAGACTTAAATGTCTAGGTGACTTGACAAAAAGTCGAATGAAATCGGTGCAAAAGGCTCCCAGAAAAAATAACTGAAACGCTTTAAATATTCATATTCTAAGCACACGCCTTTCAATCAAGTGCCGTAAAACCAGCACAAGTCCTGGCTACAAAAAATGAACGAATCACGTATCGATGTAACAACTTGTAGCCACGGTTAGGACTTTTCCAATTGTTTTTGGCAAAAGCAGTGCAGCGGGAAATTTTTGGCCAATCAAAGAGAGAATCAGTAACCATGCAATAAAACAATATTTTGTCAATGCCAAAGACTTAAAGCCAGCCAATATCATGTACAGCATTTTATAAGTACAATGTTAGACGATCTAGTTTTAACGGTGTTTAACAAAACCGCGTTCTGAGTCATGTAAAGAAGGCAGTCTCAAGAAGTCTTACATTCCAGCAAGAATACCATTTATTATTTACAAAAAAAAACTTTTAAAGCATATTTCGAGGCCTACTGCGTATCTTGAACCCGCGCTCTAACATAGGCTTTGCTTAAATGACCAGCCTGAAGTCTCTCCAACCATTCACAATACTCCAAATCGAAGAACGAAGCCAAACCATTAAAATGACAAGTCTCATGCACAAGGGTATGCAGGTGCACGGGGCCATGCTTCCCAAGGGGCAATAATAAATGCCGTTGAGCACTCCCTCTCCGCTCAGGGCCTCTTCATACGAGCCCGGTTGACCGGGCTGGCTCGGTTACCGGGATGAGTTTTGCCTTGGGTTCATATGAGAAATTTCAGCCCGGTTTCCGAGATGAGAAAAGGTCAAAGATCCTGGGTACGAGTTCTGGCGCCAAATTTAGGAAAGAAAGCTAACATAGCGAAACACAAAAATTTTAACTTTGGAGCCTCTCTTAGCATCGGTAACTCTTAAAGCTGTATCACTGCAGTTAAATGGGATGCTTATGATGTGGAAAAATACAGCAGGCAATGCAAGACGATGCCATCCGGACCGCCAGAATTCATCCGGCCGTTCATCCCGGTAACCGCCGCGGGATGAAGTGTTCATATGGCAAAATTTCCAGCCTGCTTACCGAGATCTCGGGAACCGAGCCAGCCCGCCTTCTCATATGAACACATCGAAAATTTTACAAAGGATTTAAAGGTGAGGCGAGATCTCGGAAACCGGGCCAGCCCCGTCAACCGGGCTCATATGAAGAGGCCCTCGGTCTCTGATCAGCGCCAAGGAGGAAGGTGGAACGGCCCACCCTCTCCAACCCTTTTTTTGCTAAAAATTCGTGTTTAGATCGGGAATCGATTACAGTTTCCACCTCCTCGAGGGCGCTCGATCAATTTTGCCATATCTTAATAACAATGAGCGCGAGTAATTGAGTGTTGTGAAATAGGATACTAACCTGTTAGTATAAACCAGTATTCTTTGCTGATAGCCTTCATAAATCCAACATTGCTTATCGTGAGCCAGCCTTTTCTGATCACCTAAAAGGAAAAAAATGAAGGAGAAGAAGAAGAAGAAGAAGAAGAAGAAGAGAGAAAAAACAACAGAACTACTGTGGAAGCTTTCCAAGAGAACAATCGTAAGCGAACAACAGCTCTACTTACGGCCACCTTCACAAAACCCCATTTTTTCTCCACACTCATATTACTATATAAGCTCTTTATTTTCACATTCCCGTTAACGGCCAGCTCCAGTATAAAACATTTACCAGAAGAAGAGGGAAACAACAGAAATACAGCTTTTCTAGTGGACACTCGTAAGCGAACAACAGCTTTACTTACGGCCACCTTCACAAAACCCCGTTTTTTCTCGACTCCTATACAAACTCTGTATTTTCAAATTCCCGTAAGCGGCATGCTCCAGTACTCCATGTCCCGAGGGTCTCCGCTCTCGAGAGCTTCCAATGTTAATCACCTTTAGTATATACTAAACGGTGGATAGTGTTTTTCGTGCGCTCTCATTGGCTACTAAATTAGTGAATATCCTGCACTATTCACTTCCAGTTTCTCCGAGCGAGCGACGCCAAACTCGCGTAAGTTGCGAGAAAAATGCCTTCCCGGTTTGCTACCATAACAAACAAAGAAATTTCACAATTAATCAAGCAAGCTGTTCCCGAAATACACGTAGAAGGTGACAAAGTTCGGTTTGGAAGTTTTAACAGGTAAAGCTTTGTCTTTTTGACTCGAATTTATCGGTAAAACCGGTGAAAAATTTTCTTGTTCACAAATGCAAATTAGGCTTAAGTCTTGCGTTACTTTATGCAGTTGACTTTGTTCATAAATAAGCTTAAAACTAAATTTAATAATATTTTTTTACACAATGATTTTAAATACAAAAACAATTCACAACTCCTTTTGAAGAAATTTCCCCGCAAGAGCAAAACAAATGCTTTCAAAAGTTTTATTTGTCGGCTAGAAAAAGCGAAGCCGCGGCCGTTCGGTCATTACGCGCCAAAATTGTAATCGTTGGCAACAGTATTTGAGTTAAAAATCATCATTTTTGCTCAATTAGCCACTGTTTTAGTATATACTAAAACAACTATTCACCTCAGTGTCGGTAGCGAGTGATGGATATTTACGTCGGTATATATCCACGACTAGCCACCTCCACTTCGGTGAATAATTGTTATTTAACCAACTTATCACAACCTTGAAATAAACAATAAAGGCAAACAGCACACGCCCTAGTACCCGTTCACTAAGAAACGATTATTGAATAAAAGCAAACTAACACATTTGGTGGCTCTTAGGAAAAATCTTGTGCACATCGCCTCCCTGGGAGTGTTTACTTGCAACTTGCGAAGTTTAGGGCTCGATGGTTTTATCAATAATTTTGGCTCTGCTAACAACTAATAGCATGCATCTTTGAATTGAGCGCTGGAGTGTGAAAGGACGTAGAAGTGAGAAAGTCTGCTGAACAAAGAATGGTTTCTTTAAGCACAAACCTGGTTGGATACAGTTGTCTTTGCTTTTCTTTCGCCTGGAGCGGAGCTACTTGATGCCCTAAGGTAGCATCAGAAAAAAAAAAAAAATCAGCCGTTTTACTGCTGGTAAGGTGTTTCGATAGAGTTTTTCAGAGGTCATACCGACATTTTTCAGTCTCCTTAAAAGTGTTTTTTTCCTTGTCCGGTCGCTATAAAATTTTCACCAGTAATTGGCTATGGATTGCAATTTGTGAAAATGTAGTTTAAAGTAAAATCGATATTACTATGACAACAATAAACAAAAAACTTTGAAATTGATAAAAGCCGAATTTTGTGCGATCTAGACCTGCTACTGAAAATCCAACAATAGGAACTTAAAGTTTGGTGTTTAGCAAACAATCTCCGTAAGAAGTAAAAAATCCTGTATGTTTTAATTCGACTAAAACGAAAATATATTTCAAACCTTAAATTTTTAATAGCCGTGATAGATTATTTTAAAAAATACGTTATAAAATACTGAAATTATTCTTATGTAGCGTCAAAATGCTGCTAAATATCATATTTCGATGCTAGGAAATTTTGGTGTACTTTCGTTCCCGCGATCTTGAAAACTAACCCGTTTTCTCACCACCTGTATAAGTGCAACTTCATTCAGAATTAGGACTTTTAGCGCTTTCTTGTATATCTCTGGAACGACTCGAACGAATTTTTTTAAAATCTCTTCACATAATCTTCAAAATGTATATAAAAATGTCTGAAACTTTCATTAAGATTGATTCACTCCAACACCTTGAAATTTACAATCCCCCGGATTACAAGCCCCATAAATTCCAAATGCAAAAAATCTCCCTATAATAAAAAGTCTCTCTGGGGGCTTATATTTGGAAACTGTCCTCAAATACTCGAGAATACTGTTCTAAAATGATTTATAAGAAGTTTCTTAATGTTGCAGACACTATTTTTTGGGTCATTATTGTGCCGTCATTTCTGAAAACGATATCCCATTTTCAGCAAAGTTTATGACCATTTGAAGCTAAATACCCCATTTTTACACACTGAAAAACTGCTGACAGAAATGTTCCTCCGATTGTGAACTGTTATGATTGGCTAAAAATAGTATCTGACCGACTGAAATGTCTACCTTACAATCTTACAATGTACTTACTCTGCGTATCCGATAAAATCCGGATGATTCGTGTTAATATAACCAAGTTCCATGTCGATAAACCTTTTAACCTAAGAAGAGAAGAATGGAAGACTTCTTGTGAAAGCATTCAAAATAATACCAGAAGCATTGTTGAAAATTGACAGCAAAACAAAACACGTAATTTTATTTTTCTTCATGGTCGGTTGGGATAGAAAAAGGTTCTCGCCGAGAACTGCTTAGAAACTGTTTTCTCGCGTCTTTCATTCTCAAAAGATTTTTACCGAAGAAACTCCCCCGAGATCTAAATTTAAAAAAAAAATGGCATTTCATTGTGAGCCTTGAATTGAAACATATCACACGCCACTCTTGAAAATGCTGCCAACTACCACACCCTGGGCATCTCACGTTCACGCTTCACGCGAATAATATAAAAAAATACACCACTGCATATTATGTACATCAGTACCTGGTCTTTAGATTTAGCCTCTCCTTTTCTTCCATGTTGCACAACGATTTTCTTTACTTGGTCCCTAAGCAGTGGGTATTTGTCCATCTGCAATTCAAAAAGAGTGTTGATAACTATTACTAAATCATTATTGGACGAGGTTTTAGTGATATCCAGGGTGATCAGCCAAGCCGAAGGCCGAAGCTGATAACCATTACCGAGACCTTGATTATTTCGGATATCAAAAAAACCGAATCTATGAGTTGTTTTATTACACCTTGGTTGGAAGAAAATAACCTTGGCATTGAAAACAAAATCACGGAACTAGTTAGCCGTTCATGGCACAGCCCTGTAGATATAATTATACACTGTTTTATTTGCTCAGTACCCCAAAGCAAATGTACAAATTAAAATGGAATTTACTCACGTTGGAAGAACATTTCTTGATAACATTCACCAACTCAGACATAACCAAGTCCACACACTTCACAGCAGGAGCTCTGAGTTTATCTATCTGTCGCTTGACAATAGCTTCAAATGCCATGTTAGGAGTGAACAGACCAGCCCTGCATTCACATGCGAACAAAAAACGTATCAAACAATCACCAAATTATCGTTAAGTTTCAAAAAGGAATTCAAATGAGTCGAAAGGATGCAGTTCAAATAACGAAAACTCTAGTTTTACTAAAGCAAAAAAGAAAACAGGATTTAATAAAAAAAAATTGGCAAATCTGTGATCCGAGTTTTCTATTTAGCCTGGTTTTCGTGATAAGCGTCTGGAGCAACTTGTTCACCAGCAATTTTTGGAGAAGATTTGGGAAATACAGAAATTCTGTCCTATACAGAATCTGGAATCTGGCCCTGGTTGTTCAAAAGCAGGATAGCGTTATCCACCGGATAAAACTCTATCGGATAAGTCCTAGGGAAAGAAATTGCGTTATCCACTGGATAGTGATTTATCCACCTTTTGAACAACTGGGGATAGGTCTTTTCACCCGATTGCAATACCCCATGTCCTATATACTAAAATTCTAACTTGACTCCGAGGCTTTAGGGCCAAAATTGCAAATTTTTCACCCGGCTCCCAAAAGAGAATTGAGCACAGAGAAAACCAAACCAAATATAGATAAAAATAACCAGAAATCCTCGGAGTCATGTTAGAATTTTAATATATCAAACATGGGCTATTTGCCAGGACTAACACTGCTTCACCCGATGGAGCTCAATAGAATGTTTTCACATGACGTCACGGCCACGGTTATATTGGTGTTCGAAAACAATGAAACGGCGGCCATGTTGGTGTACCAAGACATCCCTGTGGGAATTGAACTCTTTTCTTATGTAAAAACCTTCTTTTGTTCCAATAAATTAACATAGATTCTGGCCACGTTAGTGAAATTGCTCTATAATTTCATCCAGGGCATTACATCATCCCACTTAGCCTGCATAGTAAGCGTTTCCGCGTGCTTTCCTCAAGAAAGTTGAGACGAGAGCGAACGAAAAAGAGAAACTTTCTTCCAATAACTCGCCTTCTTTTATGTTAGTTTATTCTATTTACTGTATAACAGTGTCTTCACTGTTATTTAGTCCATCTACATATAAAAGAAAGAGAAAAAAATTCCGCCACCATCATGTCATTTGTCATCGACCAAAACTCTCCACCAATCAGAGCATGAGGAATCGCTCAGTTATTGTAAAAAAGGATTCGAGGGTATGTCACTATACATACACTGTATTGCAATATTTTTTTTTATTTTAATGAAGAAAGCTCGAGCTGTTCGAACGGATAGCTATTCCGTTCGAACGCTTTATAAACGGCATATGAACGGCTACCGTTCGAAAACGACAGGGGAGGGTACAGGGAGACCCCGAATCCCCTATCATACCTGACACTTGTTTGAGACTGAAATTCTTACATCGACCGGATTGTATATCACTTTTTAACTGGCTTATTTTTTTAAAGAAACGCGCCTTACATTTTGCCATTACAGTAAATTTCGAGGATATCAAAAAATGTAATTGTTTTTGGGTACCCTCCTATTATCTGTTCGGCTCTGCTCGCGAAGCAGTATTTCCCGCGCCAACGGGCACCGGCATTCACAGATTAGATAAAACCACGTGGCCGTCTCTGTGAGAAGTAATTTGCCACAAAAAAATTCAACAGTCCTTTCTGAACCAAAGTTTTGGCCCCCAAACAAAAATACCTGGATCTTCCCCTTCAGATTATTATTTATTTTACTTTTAAGAATCCTTTTGGAACTTCTTATATTGACTTCTAAGTTACATTGCATAAATATTTTACTAACAGCCATTTTACCTTGACTAACTCGTATGGAAATCGCTCATGAAATATTCTGTTTATCTTGGCTCCACCTGAAAGTTCCTTTGTATCAATTTGATCTCCAGATCCCTCAATGGCTTTCTCAAAATCACTATTGAACTGTTGAATCATCCTATGATAATAACAATATTAATAAAACAATTAACATAAAATTCCCCACGTACAAAAAGAAAAATGATATACATTGTATGGATTAGAATGGGGTGTGATGGGAGATGTTTCAGATGAGGGTTACAGGGTGTCCAGCAGTATGGTTGCAAAAAAATAGGAAAATAGGAAATTCAGGATTGAGAAAATAGGAAAAATAGGAAACTTTGTATTAAAAAATAGGAGAAAAATAGGAAAAATCAATAGTACTTTTGTCGACGAAGATAGCCTCCCTTCACCCCATCAGGGTTATAATAAAGGCTAGGAGTCCTCAGCTTCTACGTTCACAGGATTTAGATCACTTTTTGTGGCTAAGAAGGAGTGGAAATGATTAGTAAAGTTTCGTTTATTGATCCAGTTACGCTGTAATCAGAATGATATGCTTGACACAGGTCGAGCTTAGTTCTATAATCAAAGGTGATCAAATGCAAATTCCCTTCAAGTTGGCGACAAATCTTTGAAAAGCTTTGAAGAGTGAATTTTCTTAAGGTAAAAATTTCTTACGATTGATTTGTCATTGAAGGATATTGAACTAGGACTTAAAAAAAGTCCTATGAAAAGTTTTCCTATCAATCTGCAGTCGGTAGCTGGTTGAGAATATGCTTGTTTGAGTCAAAAGACCACTACAAAATTTTAAGTACGGAACCTGGCTTTCCACTGACACCGATCTGTTTGGTACAAGATTTAAGAGTCAGGGGCACCCAACGTCAATTTTCGGAAAATATCTGTTCGGAAGACGATTTGAGATGTAGAATTTTCGTTACGATTGTTGTAAAATTTCGTGATTGCCTGCCTCTCCTAGGATTTTCGAACATCTATAACATGGTATAATTGCCCATTTTTAATGTTTTTTTTTTTCCCTAAAAAGGTCATCTAGAATTTTCGGGAGCCTTTTTTCTGGTTGAAATTTTTGAAAAGGTAAGTTTTGATCCCTATAGTTTTCGGATCACTGGACTTTCAGCTAGGAAATCCGAACAGATGAAAAATTTTTAGGGGATAAAGATATGCCTATGTCTACCATTTAAATACTAAAATACGTTTAACAATTCTATGTTTAAGTGGTTTTGAACTATATTCTCGTTGAATGCCCCTGAAGAGTGTCATGGTTAAGTTCTAAGAAGAACATAACACTCTTCTTAATAGCTATGACTGCAAGACTGGTTTTGCAACCAAAGTATTGGATCCTTTATCAGTTGCTTAGGTATAGCTGTTAACAAGGGCTCACCAAGAGAAGTAGTGCTATAAACTAAACTTTAGTTTGTTCCTTGAATGTAGCTTCCAGAATCAGGAGTGATTGGTTTTTTAAACAAGAAGCTGATTAGATGATTTATCTGGCCTGTGTTGTAAGAGGACAACTTGATCCTGTTTTCAGTTTCAAAGATGAACATAAAAGCGAGCAAGACTTCAAAGTACCGATACTGAAATGCAGTTTCAGTGGGCTTTATTATGCACAATATTATTCAATAGTCATGAGAACTAAAACACTACATACAATACATGTAAGTACACTAGAAAATTATACAAAAAGTGAGAATATAAAAAAGTTGTTAATATAACTCTAATAGGCAATAGCGGTCATGCAAAGAACAAATGTAACTATTATTTTTACTAATATTAGAACATCAAACATACTACTTGCTTTTTGATAAATCTCACTCAAAAACACATACACCTATAATTCCATTTTCAATTTTGCTACAAATTTTGGCTTCACCAGCTAAAAAATAGGAAAAATAGGAGGTTTTAGTCTAAAAATAGGAAAAATTAGAACTGGACACCCTGGAAGGGTGAAGAAAGAACATACATGTAGCACCTTAACTCTTTCAAGAAAACATCAGTATTATTAAATTTGTGCTTTCTATATTCATTCTTCAGTTGCTCGTATCCAAGATGGTTTCTAACCGTGGTCAGGGAAAATTCCCATACAGCTGTACATCTGTACTCAGACGTGTGCAAGGAATAGTAATTTTCAAGTTGATGGCCGCTTTGGTATAAAACAATTTAGTCAAAGACTTGTGAGCAGCTCCACATGTCATTAATTTTTTACTTTTTCTCACAAGACCAATTTACTACAAAAGAAAAAAATTGAGCCTGCACCAAAGAAGAAACTTAACTCTTGTTAAAGTCCATCTGCAAAACAGCACCAAAATCCTTGTTCTGGGTCCCCACCTGTGGGCCAAGATTCAAGTCAGACCACGACTGGTCTGTTGAAAAAAGTAATTGTCAATTTGCCAATCAGGTTGGAAGGAAAATCTAAATACACTTCTGGTGCCAAATGTTCAAAAGCTGGACAATGGTATCCATCGGATAAATCTCTATCCAGTGGATAAGTATAAGGCAAATCAATTGCATTATCTAAGGTCATTTCATTGGGTGAGGACAAAACATGGACCAGGGGTCCATTGGACCCCCACCTTGGACCGGGTCCATGAACCACTTTCATGGACCGGGTCCATGGACCCCCTGTCATGGACCTGGTCCATGGACAGTTTTTTAAAATAATGAGAAATGAACAAAAACAGAAATAGAGCAAAAATAAGGTTAAAAACAACAACAACAACAACAAACAATACTCGATTGATCAGTATTATTCAATGCACGACTTTTACCTCATGCCAAAATGCTGCTTGTTCTTATGAATTGTTTCCTCTGATGGGTGGATTATGCTTTGGAGGAAAACGTTTTGACTGAGCAAATGTCAATTTTTTACTGCTTACAGTGAAACCTGTATTAAGCGGACACCCTCGGGGAATGCTGTAGTGTCCGCTTAATACAGGATGTCCGCCTAACACGCAGGTTTCGATAGATAATGCCATGTGAGGTGTCAAATGCCATTCAAATGAACAATGGAAACGTTCAGAATACTCCCCGAGAGACTACGATGATATAGGTTTGCATTAATTTCTTTATCAAAGTGGTCCAATTGATCATAGTACCATAAACACAGATTGCAACTCAAATTTGAAGAAATCAGGTGAGAGAAACAAGCTCTATACAAACAAAACGAAACAGAAAACAATACTGTACCGTGAAACTAATCAAGTCACGTTTTTTAATGTAAAAATCGAAAAATTTGTGGGTGGCAATTCGAGGCAATCTTTTGCATTTCCGGTGTCTGGCATGTTGGGTGGTGGAATTTAATTATTATTGTCTGTTTAATACAGGTTGGCAACAATAGAAATGACCATTTCAGGTACTTTTTAGGTGTCCGCGTCCGCTAAATAGAGGTGTCCGCTTAATAAAGGTTTCAGACGGTGTATTTCATGCTGAGAGGTCAATGTTTGGTCACGCTGGGCCCAGCTTGTTAGCGTTTTTAGCAGGATGATTAATTCTCATGGATAGTGATTTACAGATCCGAATATCGAAGAAGTGGATTGTAGCTTAAACTGAAGTCAGCTACATCAACTATGGACAATTGCGATGTGACTCAGTCACGATTGCTCTAAAAGCAATTCTAAACTTCAGCTTGTTCATAATGCGAGTCTTTGTACGGGAGCGCGTTGGCTTAACAGTCTTCTTCTTCGTCGACTGTACATGTGCAAGCAGAGCTACGTAAGCACAACTAAATATTTGTGAACAGCATCTTGTCAAATCTTATTTTTGCTCTACTTCTGTTTTTGTTCAATTCTCATTAATTAAGAAAAAGTGTCCATGGACCCGGTCCATGAAAGGGGGTCCATGGACCCCTGGTCCATGTTTTGTCCTCACCCCATTTCATTTGTTATAATTAAGAACTCTTGCATGCTACTCACTGCATCAAGGCTTTGGTCTTTATGGATGGGTCATCAGGGTTGTAGTGTTCAAATCCTTTAACCTCCTTCTCGAGTGCCATGATGTTCTCTTCTAATCTGCTTCGGAGAGCTGGCAATGTTTCTCTGATGTGATTAGTCAATTGCTGAAAAATGAACAACAAAATAGTGGATCAGGATGGATGCCTTAGGCATCCAGGGGCTTCTTACAATCAGGGCCCAAAAAAAGGTCCCATCCAGTAGCAAGGGGCATGTACAATGTAAATTTTCCTGCTGGGCATGCAACTTTTAGGGCAGCACTAAAACACGGAATCCGGAATCCGGAAACGAAACGGAATCACGGAAACGGAAACGGAATCAGAAACAGAAACGGAAACGGAATACGGAATCAAATATCAATTATAGAAAATTAAAGAATTTCACATTACACAACTAAGTACAATCCAAAGAGAATTTGTCTTAGTTTTCTTAGCAGTTCCCTTAAATATATTCTTGTTATTGTGTCTTGATAAGGTTTGCCGTAGTGTGGGTTACTGCACTGCAAAGCGGATGAAAGTAATTTTACGAGTAATTTTTATTCACGAGTTCATGGGTTGAATAATACAGTTAAATATTACTTTTGGAGCTAATTGTCAAGATTCGTAGTAGTTAGCCTCAGACCACACCACGTGATAGTTCCCAGACTGAATACTCCACACATGACCGACCGGTCACGTGACCACAGCTCCGGTGTTTTAGCAATAAGTTCAACTTTTTCGCCAAGCTGGATACTGATGGAATACTGGTGTACCGGTAATTGAGTTTACGTGGACGTCCGTATTTTTGTTGAAGAGGCTTATTAAACATGGCGTATTATTTTGATGTAATCGGTTGCGGAATCAAGCAAATGCATGCACAATTCTCTCTTCTCTTTGGAATCCACAATGCCATGGTTCTCTTGAGTAAGTTGTCTTGATAAATAAAACTGAACACTGTTGAAGACAACCCAGAAAAGACACTAAGAAAAACTTGACGGCGACGACTTTCAGTTATATAAACGACGCCTCTGACGATTCAAACAAAGTCTGTCTCCATATAACTTACCTTTTTCTTAAGGCACTAGTTTTTGTCAGTAACGTTTTTCTCCTCGCTTTGCTGTCCCATGAGAATTTGCATTCATTGCCGATAGTGGTATCAAGCGTCTTTTCACCGGAATCGACTCCTCTAGTGATACAGCAGTCTCCTCTCCTCTACTCAGCTAATTTATTCATTTGTGTCTTTTTTTATCTGTTTATTTATTTTATTGTCATTGCTAATATATTTTTTTTCAAATCGATCGCTTGGAATCTCTTTCACAGATTCCGTATTCCGTTTCCGTTTCCGTGATTCCGTTTCCGTTTCCGGATTCCGGATTCCGTCTTTTAGTGCTGCCGCAACTTTTACACGTAGCTCACTTTTCCAATGGGTAATGAGGGTCTACGAATGTCACCTTGAAATTAGATCTGTAACTATTTGGGCGATTTCGAAGCCAAAACTGGCTGGCCGGACTGGTCATTTTAACTAAAACCCATCACTGCTGTGCATAGACGTAACATTAATTTTAGGATATTAACTAATCTGCAGGCTACATAGTCATAACAGTGGAATTCTTTAAATGACTAGACTGGTCTGGCCAGCCAGTTCTGACAAATGGTAAACCCTCCAAGACATGCATTCAATGGTCCTTGCCAAGCAAAATGTTAGAGCTGCTTGGACAAGCTCAGTTCAAGGTTTGAGCCCTGATCACATACATGTAAGCTACTCTACAATCATATTAACAAAGTCTGGTAACCCAGTCATGTGCACCTAAGCAGTGGGGAGTTCAGGTGGGAAGAAAGGAAAGTGGGGGAAATGGATGGGGGTGACGCCCTTTTCTCATACTCTAACATGCCTATTTTATCTTGCATCTTACCTGGTTAAGGATCTTTTGTAAATAAGAAGTCCCCATTTTGTCTGCAAAATGCCTGATATGATTACCGACAATGAAGAAGAGAAAATTTGCAACATATATACTATACATGTACTTGTTCTAGGTAAAAATCAAATTCAGGTTGCAATTTTTTAACCTAGGTTGATTCTCAAATTCCTTTGTTTCCGAGCCCTAATTTATGAATAATCAGGGCAGGGGACAAAGGAAACTGTGAATCAACCTAGGTTGAAAAAACATTAACCTGAATTAAATTCTGACCTGTAATATATACTTGACTAACAACAGACCATATTAGTCTATCAATCACTTTGTTCAATCTATTTGGGATTTGCTGCAATTTAGCAAGCACAGAATGCCAATTTCAGATCCTAAAAATGCAGCAAGTGAGGACTAGAACACTACTATGAAACCACATAGACCTATAGGAAATAAATCCCTACATGTATCTCTGAGAAAAAAAAAAAACTTAGACACTGAGGCTTAATCCACATAAGACCTCACCCTAGTAAACATTGATAGAGATAGAAGTGGAATTTAGATTCCAGAAGCGTGGATCAGACAACACAACATCCATCATCGAACTTTGGATTAAGACAGATGCCACCAGCCATGAGTGAGATTCATAACACACCAATCACAAACAACCACAGTGTTACTAATAGGCCTCAGGCCCAAGTTGCTCAAAAGTTGGATAGCCCTACAGTGTATCTACCAAAAGAATCAGTACCAACGGGATAAGTCAGTTATGCAAACCAATAGCCATAAACTTTTCTGGAACTTTGATTTCAATTCAGTCTCTAACCTGTATGAAGGATGACTGAGGAAAAATTTACGTTCAGAAGCTAAAGCCGATCTGATGTCTTTTCTTCCATCAATGTCAGCTTGACTTCGGTTTACCACTCCAATGTAGCCTGCAAAAAATAACAAAGTCAAGATTCTTAACTAGGGTTGTCACTAAGATTTCAAGTTTCCGGGTAAAATCAACAAGTAGGGGCGAATCAAACAGCTAGGGATTTCTTTTGGTTCTATTTTTCTACTCTTTTCCTATGAAAGTACCCAGGGGAAATCCCCGTCCCCCACATCTTAATGACAGCCCACTTTTGATTATGGCAAACAGGGCTCGAAATTGCGACTGAAACTGTCGCCAATGCGACTAATATTTTCTCCTTGGCCACTAAAAATTCTGGTTTAGTCACCACTTTGGTAACCTCCCATGCAGACGTTCTTAGGGGTTCAAAACGCGTTCCTGCCCCACGAACGTCTGCTGAACCTAAGGATAAATTTCTTTCCCATTGTTCGCAAATATCGGCTGGTGATCACATGCAGATTGTCGGAGATCCAGTCGGCGCTGTTGAATTCAAAGTGTTGACAAGCCAAACACATACGTACAAGCTCCGTAGAGTGCGATACGTGACCAAAGATTTTTGCTCCGGACGAGAATCTAGGAGATAAGCGTTGGGTTTATGTATATTTCTCTCTGTAAAGGCTGGATTAGATGTCATTTGCTCATAAAGTTGTTCTTTGGGTGATGCAACGGCGGGCTTACCTTGCAAGACTGAACAAAAGGCAGAATTTTTTTTCACACGTTATTGTTTTGTAGTAAAGCCGACTTC